ACAGAACAGAACAGAACAGAACAGAACAGAACAGAACAGAACAGAACAGAACAGAACAGAACAGAACAGAACAGAACAGAACAGAACAGAAGAGAGAGCAAACATAGTCACACTTTTATCCATATTCAAAAAAAACGACAAGGTTATCATGCAGACATGCTTCAATGAAGCACCATAATAATTAATGTGGGTTGCCATTGAGAAACTACCATTCTATATCGAAGTGTTATATACATTTTGTTATTGTGCGAGGTCTCTCGTTTATCTTACTGAAAAAATAACATAGCTTCTATAATATGAAAGATTTGGGAATGACGTTCATATAGACGAAACGAGAGTTCAGTTTTATAGAGACAGCTTATCCGGCTGTAAAGAAATAATAGGACAATAAATGTTGAAGGATAAGTTCAATAATGTTTTATTATGAATATGTATTTTTATAATATATATATATATATATATATATAATATTATATATTAGCCGACATGACGGAGTGGATATGTTGTTCGGCACATATTCACAATATAATGTGTTCAAACCTCAGTATCACCAGTCATGTAATGACCCTGGACAAATAACAACGGCTACTTGTCTCGGATAACTCATCCGATAGTGTATTAATTGCATCGCTAGTCAATATGCAGAGTCAAAAACAGCCCTATCATAGATGTCACAATTATGTGATACTTATGACGATCACCAACCCATATGGGAGAGGCGTTGGACGGAAAGAAGTGCAGATACCATCGCCCGTAAAAAAAAGACGAAAGAAACTAGTGCACGTGGACCCCAGCGCTGGCCCCAACGGACGCTAAGTCTATAGGAGCCATTATTATTATTATTATTATTATTATTATTATATGATATATTAACAACAATATAACTAATTATAACAGAAGAAGCATGAGGATGTTGTATATCGATTGAGAGAGAAAAAGCAACTAAGGTCTTGTCTACACTAGAAAAATTAATGCTGAATTAAGAAACGTAGTTGCTTAAAAACTTAATTCAGATTTAAAGCAGTTTTAAAAAGTTCATTAAAGTTAATGCACCAATCGATAAAGACCTTGATGGGCTTATTAGAATCTTGGATGGACCTCAATGAAGTCGCTGTATATTATCGATAAACAGATATTTTTATAGAGAACAGGAGGTGAACTATAAAAATAAAGAGCTTTCGAATATTGAACGAAACTACAGTTGAAAGAAATAAGTTAGTGTAACGATAAATATGACTCTTGCTGGTTGATTTATTAAGACAAATTGGATAGAGGTGGAGCAGCTTGCCGTCATTCTCAGCAATGATGTTTATTCGCTTCTTCACATATCCAGAGTGTAACAACTTCAAGCATAACACACGTATATGAGTGAATTGCAACTTTTTGGTACAATTCATGCGAACAGATGAAAGTGAACCTATACAATTTTTGAGTAGTGCATTTTATTACAATCTATGCCAGTAGTACTCAAAAAAAATTTCCCGACACTTGATCGATTATTAACGGAGATATGGCCCTTTTATAAATGTATGACTTTTTCTACTTGTGGGAGATTCCATGCCAAAACAACCACACTTTGAAAGTTCAAAATTTATATATAGCAGAAATCAGTACATGATCATAGATGGAATGGTCGATGTAGTTGTCCCGAAAAATGAAATTTTTTTTTTATCCACCTGAAACCCTGGAGGGGAGTACGACAATTTCAAAAAAAACTTTTTTCATTTTTCTGGAGAACCATGTTGACGATTCTATCTGGGATCATGTCCTTATTCGTGCTAGGTACGAATTTTCGAATAAAAATGGAAGCTAGAGAATAGTGCGCTTTTTTATGTTTATGCTGAATAAATTTTTTTCGAAAAAAACGTTAACATCCTGAACATTTTCGCTTTTGCGGTCATCATTTTTTCCCCAAATGATACTCTATGATCGCTTCCCACGTAACTACGCCAAAAAAAAATTTTTTGAATGAGCCGTACTGAAAATATTCGCGAAAAATTGTCATTCTACATACTTTTCTTAAAATTGTCATTCTACATCTCAGTATAATGTAAATTTCTCCCGAATAAAAGATGATCGGGCGGTGAAACTTTTATCACTGATAGACCTTACCACTTTACATATTGAGTAAAACTTTGAGCTTAATCGCACGAATCGTTGAGGAGCTACTGGACCGTGAAATTGTCTTCCTACACACTTTTTTCAGTATAATGTAAATTTCTCCCGAATAGAAGATGATCCAGAGTTGAAACTTCTACCGTTGATACATCTTACTACTTTACATATTGAGTAAAAATTTTAGCGAAATCACATGAATCGTTGAGGAGTTACTGGACCGTGAAATTGTCTTCCTACACACTTTTCTAAAAATTGTCTTTCTACATTTCTCAGTATAATGTAAATTTCTCCTGAATGGAAGATGACTGAGTGCTGAAATTTTTATCAATGATAGACCTTACTGCTTCACACATTGAGTAAAAATTTTAGCTCAATCGCACGAATCGTTGAGGAGTTATATAGCCTCCAATTTTCAAATTGTCTTTCTACAAAGTGAGTATAATGACTTTTTTTCAGAAAGTCTTCTCATTTTTATCGATAAACAAAGTTGACAACACAGAGTTTTTTCTTACCATTTTGTTACTCAAAAAGTTGTCTTTCCTTTCGTATAATTTCTGCGTCGTCAGCTTTATCACTGATCGAACTGTAATCACGTTTGTGTCTTTCTACACAAAAATTCAAAGTGTCTGTCAAACAGTGTGAACGTTGGACGAACAAGAGAATGAAGTATAAAATTTAAATCCATAATATACTTCGATAGAGCATTGAACGCTGTACAAAATAGCCTATTCAGATATTTTTTCTCTTTCTGTTCTGTAGTTCAAAAATTCGTTTTTCTTCTCACGTGTGAGCAAAAACTAACATTTTGTTGCCATATTTCCCTTATAACTCAGCGACTGTATGAGCTAGAGAGCTGAAATTTTGTGTGCTAGTGGGGCATACTAGGGTCAATAACTTGTGAGAAAATTATTCAAATCGGTTGAGAGGGGGAAAAGTTATTAGAGATATACAGCTAAAACGCAAATGTACCAAAAAGTTGCAATTCACTCATATATAGGAGAGAGATAGGAGAGAGATATAGTAGAACAGTGGAAAGAGAATAGAAAGAGAACGAGAAAAATCGTTCAAGCGTGCCATCAATATTGGTACAGTGAGAACGTTGCAACTCGTCACATGGCGAGTTTTTTTCAAGGGGGAAAAAGCTGATTCCGTGATTCCGTGATTCTACTGATTCTATGTGATTCTGTTGATTCCATGTGATTCCATCGGCTCTGAAATCACTATGAATATCACCGTATTTCTCGACTATAATGTCGTAATCACGATGTCCATGGTCATTTTTCAACAACATGACCATTACCAGTCGGATATAGAATTGAGCAAGCATGGAAATTGTTTCACGAACCTCACTCAAACACTAAACTTATCTTTGAATGCCAACGTAAGAGTGATGGACGACGTTTTCCATCAGTTAACCAGAACTGAGAAAATCAAGATGCTCTGGGTTCAGTGGATTGCATTTATACAAATGTCCAGACTGGTGTTAAGATAATGAGCATCTACCGATGCCGATTAGGTGCAGACTATTTTGTTTCGCCCGATGCAAATTGTGAGCAAGCAACAGTTGAAAGTTTTCTTGGCTATGATTTGATTTAAGTACTGAAAAATGAGATGTCAGAACTCTTTGAAAATAGAAAGTACTCAAGATTGCAGTGCACAATTTAATGTAGCAGTAATAAAACTACTCAAATTCACGCATAATATTTTCTGTCTTATTGTTACAGATGTATTTCAATTTGTTTAAAAAATACAAATTTATTGTTATACATTACAGTTTGTCGTCACCGGTCTAATAGAAATGAGCAACATATATTAATTAGATAGTCCTGTGCATGGTGTCAATATACTTGCTATCATCTGAGAAATCGAAAAGCACTCAAATACAGACCATATATTGACGGTGTGATTATCAAAATTGATCGTGTCTCATTTTAGACCCATATCTACACTTGAAGTCGAGAATACCGTTTCGATAGATTCAGATTTACTAGATTGAATTAGTCTTCTCAAAAACTAAGTTTGATCTGTCTTTTTCAAATTGATTTGGGTACAAGTCACATCCAAGTTCTTCAGGAAAAGAAGCAGAGAAAGTATTGCGAATGAAAAAAAAATTGTCTAGCTATATGTTAGTGATGAGTAGTATGTGTAAGCAGTCGTATTAATTAGCATCGACAGTGAAGAGAAGCGCCAATGGATAAAGCAATAATTCCGCTTATTATAAGTGCTGAAGCAATAGCAAACAAAACAAATGCAATCTTTGGTGATGGTTTTTCCCATTGAATATTATATTTTAAATTTATTTCACGAGTGTCAACAGCATTATGCAGCAATTGTTTATGATGATAGCATGGATAAACTTTACCGATCTGAAAAGAAAAAGAAATGTAGCAATTTCACTTATTGTCTGTTTTGATAAATCAAAATAAAAACACCACTGTATTAAGTTATCATAGTAACTTACAGAATATAGACGACCTGCTTCTTCCAATGCCGATGATGCAAATACGTGTCCTTCAGGCCCGATAATTTTTAAATTCGAACGCAGTATGAGAAGATCCTTTGCTGAATTACTACTTTGTGGTTGTTTAATAATGTCTACATTCCATATTGGATCGACTCTACTTAAAATCTTTCTTATTTGTCGTTGTGTTTCAATGCCATTGACACGACAGTAACTTGGTTGTGTGCTAAAATTATTAAAAATTTTGTATTCAAAGGCACCGTATATGATAAGTGGTATCCCAAAAGCTATACAAAGAATTGCTATACCAATAAAATAGGTTGATTGTGTACGATAGCTATTTTTTGTATTTGTTATTTTTGTCGTCGGAACTGAGCGATATTGTGTACCACTGTTCATTATTTTCTAAATGAGTATAACAATATGATATGTATAGAGTTTCAAAGTTCCTAGGTTTGCCAGATCGTTTTTGTTTATTATTTCCTTGGTTTACAAACTAAGAGTAAAAAGAAAATATGTCTTGTTAATTTTTTGCTCAACTAATTTCTAAAGGCAAATATTAACTAGGGGCTGATTGGCTGAATTTATGGGAACCCAGTTACTGAGATTCTCACATAATACTCAGAATGATTTAGTATGATATCCGTTAGGGAAAATATTGGAATTTGAGTACTTGAATATTTGAATGAACTGCAGAAACAATAAGCGTTATTTTGATTAATATTTTTTTATGGCAGACCTGAAATGAAATACTTACAATAGGAGGTTCGATATCTCTTTAGTTCTGAGGTACACTTTAAATCTGGGAACTATCTTATACCGCGAGTGATAACAGCAGAAAGAATATTTTAATGCGCAGAAGCAGTATTGTTACTCACAGCAATAACTAAAATGTTTCAGAAATTTTTTTCTTAATATAAAAATTCTTATTTATTTTGTGTGAAAGCACTTTTAAGTGTTGTTTTGTCTTCCTTTTCTCTTCATATTCTGTACAGATTGACTTTTTTTGCATAAAAAAATTCTCAAAAAAAAAAGAAACGACATGGACGGTTTATGCTCTATTAAAATGTGAATGGATAAAAATAAAAATGAAGAGAACAACTCAATTGTGCAATCATCGTCACATACTATTATTAACGACAACTATATCTATCATTGACAAAAAAACTGTTTTTGATTCCCGTCAAAGTAACCATGGCTGATTTCAGATTTAGATTCAATCAGAAATAGTGTGTTGATCCCTATGAAAAAAAAAAGTTAGAAGAAGAATAATTTTTAACATTACAATCGCACGTCCTCAAGATTTTAAAGTTATATTTTAAGTAAAAAATTGATATTCAAGATTTACAGGTGAATTAATGAAAGCTAATTCAAATTGAAAATGGAGACTTGTAGCAAAAAAACAATAATTATGCATATAATGCTAATTATTTATATGATAAACTTGTCCAGAGCCGCTAGGATTTTCTTAATGCCTTTATGATAGTTCAAATTCAATTCATTTGATAATTTGAATAAATACTGCTTCTGCAATACTTCATTCGATTTGACATGATTAAAATCTGTTATCTGATACATATATACAGACAGATTATGTCACCTGTCAAAGAAAATAATTTTCATGTGGTTTCAGCTGTAGTGTCAAAATTATTTCTTTGAGTTACAGCGATAATCTAGACTGCTATGATTGGTAACAAAGAAAGGCAAAGTTTTATCACAAGATATTCAAATGAGAAGTCTAAGAATTCTTTTCTTTTGCAGTTGCAATTAGAATGTGTCGGATATGAATTTGTCTCGTTTTGTCTGCCGACTAATCATTCATCGTTTTGCTCAATACTTCATATAACAAACTCGACTGAACTTTCAAAACTTAAATTTTTTTATACTCATTTTTTTCTAAATTATTTGCTTGCAGAGATGTTAATCGTGGCTAAAAGTCTGCCATGCCTTCATCGCCGTGTATATCTTTTCGAATATTTTGTATGTGTCATGCGGCCGTTGGATAAATCGGGTAGAAGATCACGATACATACGACACATTTTAAACTTAGTGTGTGTAAAAGCCCCGATATCAATGTCATTGGTTTGATAGTTAAGATTTTTTTACTTGTTTTGGTTTGATCAATTAGTTGACTTCATTTTTTACCATGAATATTGTGCATTTGTTCTTTTTTTGCGATAAATATGATACTTTAGTCACTGTTTCCTCACAAACTAGTCAGATTGATCGATAGAAAGAACGCGATATTTATATCGGTACTTTGACAGGTTGCAAGCAGCAGAGATGGAACCGATCTAACTCGTTTCCTTTCCATAGTTTTTTTATTAATATTTATTCAAAATTTCTTCTTCATCAGTGTATAAAATGATTTATTGATGAATTTTTTCTAGTGCTAACAAATCTTCGATTGATCAACCAGTTATTAGTCGACAAGTCGGTACTGATAGATTAATTCCATCTCTGGTAGTCAGTGTAAGAACATTTCGCTTTAAGTTGAACGTTAAATTCAGGGTACTTTACATATGATATCCTCATCTTCGAAAAGTGATTCGTATTCTTGAGTTTTAGTTTGAATTTTAGCATATGTTTCTCAAATTTTAATGAGCTTCTTTTCCGATGCATTCAATGACTGTTTGTTTCCTCAGAAAAAAATCGAAACTATTTCAGTGTCGAATACAGATTATTAAAACGGTTTCTTGTTGATCTTCATGAATTAGACATCTTTTTTTCTGCATGTAATTTATGTGTTCCATAAATTTTATTCAATAGATATTAATGGAACTTCCGGATTGATATTCAAACTTGTGAGCTTGCTGAACTATGTACATCTCCTACAGTTCGTAGTGTCTTATCAAAGCGTTGAAAATATAAATTGAATCCCTATCATTTGCCACAAATTGTGGTTCCCTGAATTAACCCCCAAATCATATTCCCATTTGGGGATGATAAAACAATTAAGATAAATTCTGGTCACAAAATGGCGATTTTTATTTGGGGATGTTTTTATCATAAGATACACTGTGTATGCTGTAACTCAATAGCATCTTGTTTCTCGTACTACACGGCATTAGCTCGTATTAATTAGAATAAAAATTTCTAGCATGATCATTATGTTAGCCAAGGTTCAATCTATGTTCTGGTGACCATGAGAAAGTGATTTTTCACTCAATATTGAATTATGTAACAAATAGGACCAATCCTTTTACTAACGGTGCAGTGGTAATGCTATTGATAAGAGTGAGTAGCAATGTACATAAAACAAAAAATCTGCCTTAATTGTTTTTATTATCCCCAAATGGGGATGTGACTTGGGGATGTGACTTGGGGATTAATTTGGGGCAAATGATAACCTACCATAAATTTTGATTGAACATAAAACATGTGCTTTTATTTTGTAACAAACTACTGACTATTAAATCAACATATTTTGAAAAAGTCTTAGCAGTAATCAGGCGCTCATAAATAAATTTCCACGAGTTCACGTTCATTTGTTCTCCTATATAGGCAATGGTAAATTGAAATTTTATATTTGTTTTTAACCTACAAATAATCTCTATTGTTGATAGACTTACCAAACATTTCGTGACGCTTTAAATAAATATGTATGTAATATAATATTTGTTAATCTTACTAATAAACGATTCTACATTATGTCTAGCTTGACGATCGAAAACCAGAAGAACTTAAAGAATGTTATCTATATGGACGAATGCCACCTATTGAGAAACTAGATCAATCATTATCGTCACTTGTTAATTGCGAGTATGTTTGAAAAGCGCAAAAAACAGTGTGATTAAAAATTTTCTTTAATTTTTATAAAATACTAAGACGATTAGCTTTGTCATCAAATACAATCGATCGTATTGGCTATATGAATGGTCTTCGTAATTTAAAAATTCTTTCTCTATCAAGAAATAATATAAAAAATCTCAACGGTCTTGAAGTACTTGGTGAAACACTCGAACAATTATGGATTTCATATAATCATATAGAAAAATTTAAAGGAATCAGTGCATTAAAAAAATTACGTGTATTTTATTTTGCATACAATCAAATAAAAGATTGGAATGAAATAACAAAATTAAATGAATTAAATCTATTAGAAGAAATAACAGCATATGGAAATCCTATACACGAACGAATTGTTGGGGAAAGTTTTTCACCTGAACCAAGTCAACCTATGATATCATTAGAAAAAGACTATTATCGCGAATTTAATACTCGTATACCACACTTGAAAAAATTAGATGGACGAGTTTTTCTCGACAAAGACGATGATGATGAAGATAATGATTAATGAAAATTGTAGAATAATTTTTATTTATGTAGAAAAGAAAAGAAAAAGAGAAGGAACAAATATTATTGCTAAAAGTTTCGCTAACGAACGAGAAATAAAAATCATTCAAAGAAAAAAAGATTGTAGGAATTTAGAATTTTGTTTTTCTTTCAAATTTCCTCTCTCCATTGTTTTTGCGCTAGACGATATGCATTTTGTTCATGTAAAAATCGTTCTAGTTCTTCTTGTCGTTCGAATATGTGCGTATGAAATGGTGAGCCATACACATGTTCATCACTCCATTTTACAGATATAAGATAATCGCCGGGTTCAGTTGGATTATATCGACATATTATTGTACGATCTTGTAAATGTTCACGTTGCATTTCAACACGGAAAGCGCCTTTTGGACCACGGATTTTCACAGTTAATTGTCCAGCACCTAAGAATACAATTCGAAAAGAAAACGATATATATATATATATATCCTTATGAATGAAATACCTGCGCCTTTTGTTTCACAAATAAAATGCGATTGAAATGTCGATAGAACACCATGTTCAATACCTGGGCCAGACACGCGAACTTTATCTAAGAAAACAACAAGAGCATCTCTTGTGTTAAGTTTTTTTTAAAATGATTTTCAATACTGACTTGCATCAGGTGGACCACTGACTTTAAGTGTATACGGACTACCTGGTACATCGTCATCATTATATTTAATCGTCAATACATGTCTTCCACTTTCTTGTGGTTTAATAAATAATGTAAACGTACCATCACGATGATCAAATAAACGACAAAATGCTGTTTTATTTATTCCTTGACAATAAGCAGTTAATTCTCCGGGACCAGCACCACGTGTATCAATGACGCATTTAATTTCTTTACCTAAAATACCCATTCTTAAACCATCACCTGAACAGATGACTCGAGATGCCGAATTATGCATGTTTCCATGTGGTAAAACATTGACTTTAAATGGCGAACCACGAACTTGTCGTTCAGCCCATGTTATACTTAATAAGTAGGCACCTAGAAGCAAAGAGAAAGTTTTTTCTTTAACTGAACTTTTTCTTAATTTATGTTACCTGGTGCCGTTGGTATGTATGAACAAAGAAAAATATTATTTTCAACTTGTCGAATTCGAACTTCAACATCGGCTTGAACACCAGTTAATCGTACAATAGGCATGCTCGTACCTTGTGATAATGTTTTCGATGCATCAATAGTAAATTCAGCTTCTTCATTAACTTTTGCTTCATATGAACCATGTCCACGTACTTCAACTTTTAAATGTTCACCTAAATTTGTACTTGACGAACTTGCAATTGCTTTTATAGGCATATTGGGCAATGGATTTTGATCATAATTTATTGTCACGTCATATTTTCCTTCTCGTACTGCAGTGAAACTAACTATATAGATAGTACCTTGTTGATCAATACGTATTGGTACACGAAGACCATCATGGCTACCTCGAACATCAGCTTTTAATGTACCTAAAAAAGATTAAATATAGATTTAAAATTCGACAAAAATAAAAATATTGACCTGGTCCAGCATGCGATGTATCGAAACGAATTTTCTTTTCTTCGTTGACCATAATATGCATGCGATCTTCCGAATCGAGTATGGATTGCCAACCTCCGACAATACGAACACGTTCTACAAAATAAGAAATCGAGCTCTTTTTTTTTAAATATACATATTTATGTAAATCTATCAACCTGGATTAGTGACAGCAGCTTTAAATGGACTATTTGAAATATCTTTTCCATTCCATTTTATACTTATAGTGACAAAGCCAACTTCAACAGGTACATAGGTTACTTTAAAACGATTATCATTAGTTCGTTCAAGTGTGTTCTTAATAACAGAATTGGATCCTTTAAAAAAAATACGTTATGTTCATTCAACAGAAAGATTTTATTTTCTGTCTACAATACCTTCTATACGAACTTTCAAATCGCCTTGCATATCTTGTGTATCAATATTAAATGTTGCTAGTTTTTCATGTAGAGCATGATGAATTCCATCGCCGTAGGCTGTCACAAGACGAGCATCATTAACCATCATTTTAATGGGCGTACCTATATTGTGTTTTTTGTGTGCAAAAACAAAATCAGAAGAAAAATAAACAGTTCTAATTACCTGGTACTACTTCTGAACCAAATTTTGCATTTAAGTAATGCACACCTGTTTCGTTTGGTGTAAAACGTACTTTTCTAACCGTTGATCGAAACGAGGCATCGTATCGTCAACTTTGAGAGGAACTATTGATTAATAAAAAAATGTTCAAACAATAGGATTTGTACTGTCATGAATTATTGTTGTCAAACAAATAGTATAGAAGAATATCAAGGAATTAAATAAAATTTCCTGTCAAAAATTCATAAAAAAAGAGCTTTTTTACATCAAGCTTGTTTTCAGTCTCCTTGACTTTATGTTACGTTAGTTCCTTTTCAATCAGATAAGAGAAAAAGTCGTTTCTATATAGTTTTGTATTACTGCCAATATTTTAGATGAATATCAACGTCATTGAAGCGATATGCTTGATTAATTCTTAAATAGTAAAAGGTTCAATATACGTAGAAAAATTTCTCCTTGATTAAACTTATTGTACTTGTATGTCGAGGTTCAGATTTTGAAAATTATTTCTATTCGTCTTTTTCTTTCTTACCATTGACTCCTGTTGGTGATGAAATTTTGATCTCCAAAGGAACATTGCCAGCATTTTCCAAATTAATTTCAAATGTATTTTCTGTATCAACAATAATATCTCGTGGTAATGGCCCAATGCGTACTTGTGATGGGTCATAAACTTCCGTAAAAAATGGACTACCTTGTACAGGTACATTAGCAAATGTAATATCAATACGATGTTGACCTTTACGTAAAAAACAATAACAATAAAAATAAATTTATCTATCATTCAAATATTGTTCTTTTTTTTCTCTGCTATATTTACCGATTTTGCTTGGTGTAAATTCGCCTGAATAATCTCCACTTGCTTGTGGAAATAATTTTACATTCACTGGTTCACCTTTTGGACCTATGTAACATGATAGAAATGCGATAAAAAATTATTCGAATGAAAAATGTCTTAAGTAATAGTCTCGAGCAGTAAGTAAATTAATTCAACCAAAAAAAGATTAGAATAACACACTCACCAATACCATGTTAATAGAGAGAAAATGATGTCTATTTATTTCCTACCGACAACAACAGATCCAATGATTGCATTTAATACACAACGATTTGGATCAAGTAAATTCAAGATTTGATTATTAATTAAATATCTCAATTGTTGAATAACTTGTTCATTGGTGGTTGTTTGTGTTGGCGTTTCATATAATTGAAATGAGACTATTGCACGTCCTTATTGAAAACGAAAGTAAAAATGAAATTCTATCAAAAACTACAAACCATTTTCTTTGCCAAGTGCAACATTACGAATTCGTTCTTGTGTCAGCTTTAATCGTGTTGCAAGTAAAATATTAAATGATGTCAATAAGACCTGTGCTGGATATTGAATTAATTGTTCATAGGTATCATGTAATTGAAACAATATTGTTTGTCCAATATCATAACGATCACCAGCAGAAAGATCTTTACGAAAGAAACAACAACTAATTAGATAAAATAAATAGCGAATTTTTATTTACTGAAAATCTTTGCTTGAATAGGTCCTCGTTGTCCATGACAATGAATACGAAATAATCCAAGATCATTCAAACGTAAACGATGAAAGCATTCACCAGATATTTGAACGACTCGAGGTCGCTCGACACGAATTGAAAATGGGGATCCTATTGAAGACGAGAAGAAAAAAAGAATATTTTGATTTTCTTCCTCTGATTATCATTATGATTGCAATAGATTTTACCTTCAATTGGTCGATTGGCGCATGAAACATGAACCGTATAGATACCTGGTTCTTGTGGAATGAAATGTATTCGAACAAGATTATCATTAATAATAGCTGTTGTCGACGGTATCTGACGATTGCCGAGAAAAACAACGACTCTTATATGTGCATTTGATGCTGATTCAGCATGAACTAAAACATATCATTATATAAATGTGTAGATTTGACTCTTATTAAAACAATCTAGTTCAATTACCTTGTATCACGCATGGAGAATTGGTTAACAGCGTTTGTTCAAGACCGGAAAGAATTACTTTTCCGCTAGTATCTTTCACTTGAATTAAATAAGGAGAACCTACGATAAAAATATTGATAAATTATGAAATGAAAGACTAATTATATTTCTGTGACGGATGGCTAGAGACAAGGTTTGATTATTTTACATTACAGGAAAAAAACCCTGAACGTACTTAAAATGTACTTTATGATTCAAATAGGTAAATTTCAATAAAAAATTGTCTCTCTTAACTTAGAATTTTCTTCGTCTTCATGATAGGAAAATTTTGATGAAATGTTCTTTTTCTTTACTTACTTATTAAAGATAGTCCATTATGAACTAAATGTATTTTGTAAGTACCAGGTACATAAGGTCGAAATTTCAAATGCCAAATATGTAAATCTTTGGTTCTTTCAATCTTATGTGGAACAGACATGCCATTGTATAAGATTTGACCTTGAATCGATGAAATTGAAGGATTCTCTGTGTTGACTATTCGACAAAGAAAAAAATATTAAAGAAAGAAAAGAAAAGAAATTATGTTTTACTTTGTAAACAAATATCATCACCAATTTCTGCAATATTATTAGGAGCGATTTGTTGAATATGAGCAATAGAAGACGATCCATTTGTTTTTGATATTTGTGGTTTTGCTGGATAAACGTCAGTATCAAGAGTTTTTCCATGTACAAGTTGATTATTGAATAATACACGAAGTTGATAACGACCAGGTTCGGTTGGAACATATTGAATAAGATATTCATGCGATTTTAATTCTTGTACATGACATCGACAAGGAAGTTTTGAGTTTGCCGGTTGAATTAGTTCAACCTTTAATTGACCTTGGCCAGCTTGATTTGTATTAACTAGAGAAATAACGGGTTTCGATATACAACAAAAAAATGTTTTTTTTTCTTTATCTCAAAGACATTGATGTCTATACATAGTCTTTTTTGTTTAAGTTCAAGGGTGTATTCAATTATATAACCTGTGATTGAACTTTATGCATATAGATTTACCTTTATAACCCACGGTTGTCCTTACAGTGACAGGTTGACTGTGTTCGGCGATAATCGAAATACGTTGAATGTCATAAACGTTCACATCAATTGGGATACCTATCGAACAGAGAGGCATTCATATAATATCAATGACATAATCTAGTATATTATTCATATTAAATGAAAACTATATTCCCTATGAAATATTTTCTGCGCCCATCGTTTGACAAGAGAGAAAAAAGCGAAGAGTAATATGATTGCTTTTGTTCGTGTCATTTTTACATTGAATTTAACAATAAAAAAATTTCTCTAACAAGAATTATACATGATATATTAAAATAATTAAAAAGATAATCAAAGAGTATTAGGAATATAAATCAATGTGTCACAACGACGTGCTTGTGGCGATGATGGATTTTGTGATATTCGAGAATAATCAACAAGCATTGGTTGTGATGGTAATGAACGATGAATACTATGTGGTAGAGGTGGAGGTGGAGGAGGAGGAGGAGGAGCAGCATGTCCAGGATGATGAATAATAGATGGCTGTTCGGTTGAGGATACCATACTAAATCGAATTTGAATGTCATTTAATAGTTGCTGATAATCGCGATAAAAATCTGTTGGTCTATCTTGATAAATATCATCGAAGACTTTATCAACTAGATTTCCTAAATTTTTTGTATTCATTTGTGTCACATGTCCATAATCATCTGAATAGACAGATGGATCAGGAGATGTAATCGGGCGAAAATTTGAAGATGGTGATTGTGGCTGTGGTGGTGCTGGAGGAGGAGGTACTGGTTGAAGTTTTCTTTCAATAGGCGTTGGCTGTTTATAAACAAAAGGCGATGCTGTTTTTGGTACGTGAGACATTGATGATGGTGCTTGCATCACAAGACTTGGTCTTGGTTGTATATTTCGACTACGTAAACTATAGTATCTAATTTGTTCTGTGGGACGTTGAACGTGTTGCTGCTGCTGCTGCTGCTGCTGCTGTTGCTGCTGTTGTTGAAGAAATTGATTACCTTGTAGACGTGTTAATGAACGTGTCGGTGGTATGCGATCACTTTCAATACTAGCAGGACGTACAGGTCGACGATTAAAATTATTATTATTTGATTCATGCAATGGTTCAGTTTGTGCACCTTGATCACGTACAATTAGTGGTTCAGTACTTTGTGCACGTTGACGTGTTGGATGAACAGGACTTTGAACAATACGAATATGTATTGGTTCGGATGTAGTTGGAGGAGGTGGAAAATCTTGTTCGTTATCCGAAGAAGATGATGATGATGACGAGGGTGGCAAATTAATAATAAGTGTACGTGATTCTTCTTCAACGGGTGGTGTTGATGAACCAGTTTTATTGATTTTAACGTGAGATATAGGTGAATGATGACGTTTATCATTTGTTGTTTCAAAACGTCGGCGAATACTTGAACGAAAAACTTTTTTCTTATTTGCTAAAATTTTTACACACGATTTTTTATTTTGCTGATTCGGCATTGTTTTATTTGTACTTGTTACTGTTTCAAGTTCAATTTCGCGTAATTTTTCATCGATCTGCCTAAGCATCGATAAATGCCAACCACGAAATGTTCGCAGTTTTTCATCTTGATCTTTTATACTATCGTGATCACTGATCCTGCGTTCATGATGTTCAATATCACTCAATAGTGGTGAGGGTGTATCATCCCCACAATCATCTCCATCGTCATTGTCATCCTCCTCGTCTTCATCATCGTTGTTGCATTCGGATATTTCAACAGGTGTATGTTCGCGTTGAAGATTTGAGCTGTTTCCATTGACATTATTTGATAATATTTGACGTATAGGCGACGATGAATGATCGGATATTGTTTCGGCTGATGAAAGTGACATTGAACAAGAAATCTCAAGTGGATTATCAACATCATAATGTAATTCATAATTTCCACCATTGACACGATTTATTGAAAGATTTTCAAGTTCTTCATCGTCTTCTTCGTCGTCACGATGTTCACTGTTTCGATTTTCTTCACGTTGAACTTTCGATGCGCGTTCATTATCATGATGAATTACTACTTGACCACGTATAGCACGAAACATTCCTGTATCATTAGCTGGTGGTGGCGATGAAAAGATTTTTACTGTATTTTTAGGAAAGAAAAATTGATTGACAAATGTCGGCAATGTAGTATCATCATCGCTATCTTCGCTTGGAAGCATTTTATGATCTAATTTATTGTGTAATGGTGAAATATTGGATTGATGTGGTAAATGATGAAGATCACGGTAAGTTGTACGTGATTTACTTAGTTGTTCTTCTATGCCATTATTCATCGTTGTAATTTCTTTTGTTGCCATTTGTTTTATTATCTAGCCGTTGTCGTTTACCAATAGCACTGATGCAATTATTCAGAGGGTATGAATGATAGCTACGAGAAGCAAGTTGTCGTTTTTAATTAGCCACTGTACCATAGAAAAAAATGACGAAACTATGAGGACGTATACGTGCATACCTATATTCATTCGTACAGGTGTCTTCTTTCCTCGTCAGATTACTGGTGCGCTTGGACGAACGAGAAAAGAATAAAAAAAAGGAAAAAGTGGTTTGTTGCATTCGATTGATCGCACAAAAGTGAACGCATGAGTGAGCAACACACATATGATACATTCAGATGCAAACACACACACACAATCAAAAGAGAAAAAAAGGAGGGCAAGGAAATTATGGGGGATGTTCGCGTTCGTTACTTTTCTCTCTCTCTCTCTCTCTCTTTTATACGATGGTCAAAAAGAGATCAATCATTTTGTTTATTACTTCCTCTCAAGCATTTCGTATAAATATATACACATATATATTATGAATGCGTAAAGTTCTTCTTTATAGCGAAGACAAAAAAATTCGGTCAATTTTTGAATTAGTCAAGCTAGGTGGACATTTCATTTCACATCATATATATAATCAAATATTCTATAGGCATATAATTTGTCTACATAACAATGTCTTCTTAACTAATCGATCGACATCAACTACTGTTTCTTTATAAAAAGAAAAGATAAATGAACAATTCATACGGTCTTTTTGTTCTGTTGTCTATAATCAACATGTCATCTTTTGATAAGCAAGTTAGATATATAATCATAATCTTTACTTACCATTAACTGGTAGATTTCTATAGCCAACGTAAACACGATAGTTTCCAACTTTCGATGGAGATAATGCAATACGCATATGATTGGACGGAAGAGGATGAATTTGTATTGGCATTGTTGTCGGTTCAAATTGATTGTCATCAGTTTGCGAATAAACCATAACGAATATTTTTCCAGGTCCCGCTTGATTAACATTACCTATATGAAATATAATTAGTTACTATATTTGTTTTTCTTCATCTTTACTTACAAATTAAATAGCAATCATTTATTGGTTGTAAACGATTCAGCGATTCGAAACGAACAGCATTTGGATTATAAACAGGAAATATAAAGGGACAACCTAAAAACAAAAGAAAGAATCAAAATAGAGAACGTTCATAAAATAAATTATTAATTCGTTCTACCTGGAATATGTTGTTCAATATAATCTTTTAGTATGATAGAATAATCTCCTGCGATCGTGGGTCGAAATTTAAGAAGAAACGTATCATCATTTCGACGCGCTGCTTGTATGGGTATTTCCATACCATTTATTGTTATGTGTACATATGCGATATGTGGAAGATCGACTAAAAATATTTTTCGTATGAAAAACAAAACAAAAAAGAATTATTTGCTATTGCATACTTAAAAGATGTACATCAGTATTCACCAGTGGATAGAGTTGTTGTAGAAGTACTTTAAATGGATATCGTCGAGGATCTATAAGGTAGAAATTGACGCAATAAGTTGACTCTATCGAATCTTTATTTTCGGAACAGTTCAAAACGAAGAGTTTTGACGAATACTTTTATTTAGAGATGCATTTTAATAGAGACAGTCACACGCCAAGGCCTCTATCACTAGGATATAGATTCTAGTTGTATTAAACTTTTCTTGGTCTCATAGAGTTCTGCAAGTAATAACCTTTAGATGAAGTACGACTACACATAACCGTTAGAAATTTTTTCCTTAGAATTGCGAAAACTATGTATTTTCATACCGAAGACAATATCAATTGGTTGTTGACGATCGAATTTTTCTTTTAATAAATTAAATTTTTGAAGTTGTGCACTAGCCAATTGTTTTGCAGCTGGTACTGCTAATTGTCGATCTTCTGATGGTGTAATTCGTTCTCGACTTTGTTGTTCAACAGATGACAGTGGATTTTTCTGCGCTGCTGCTTGAGTAATATTTTCATTTGATTTCGATAGACGAGCATTGATCGGATCAATTGTTGCTTGAGATGACAATGAACGTGCTCGTTCGTGATCCTGTTGTTTCGAATGCATGGGACGTCCGCGTTCTTCAACATCGCTTGTTTGAGTACTTTTAACTAATGATTCTATAAGCATATTGAAAAAAATAAAAATAAATAGTTGGTGTAAACTTGAAAGCACAAACACACACACACGCATCCACACACCCTGATTATCAGCCAAAGATTTTTTTATTCGAATCGAATATTCGCCTCGGATTTGTTCCCAATCGGATTGTTCCGGCTTATCAAAATGAAGTACTAAACGAAGACTACCATCTTTTAAACGCTGATAATGTTCTATTTTATTTAGAAGAAAAACAAAATTCAATACAACTATCGTCGATTTCAATAAACATACCAACAATTCCATGGCCTCGATAAGTTATTCCTAAAAATTAGGAGAAATTTTGTCCAATTAAAAGAAAATGTGCTAGAGCGGTGATATCCTATAACTAACAAGGGTGTTCATGTGTGTATGTGTGCGCTTGTGTATTTTTATAAATATTCTACATACGTTCTTCGAGAGCTTCGACTGGTGTTGCTCGACTATCTTTCGATTCGACAAATACTCGAAGTGGAGTTTCGGGTATTGCAATTCGATTGAATAATACATAAACAGTATGTGGACCTAAACGATATTGTTTCGATAGAAGATCAATGAAAGTGATCGGTTTTTTTCAATCTACCAGCAACAATGGGCTCAAATTCAACGGCAACATGACCATTCGATCGTTTGACAATATTAATTGGTAATGATCGATTATTTGGACCTGTACAAAAATTTTCGCATAAAAATAATTAATACGAATATTTTTCTCACCTTTGATAGACACTTTTAATGAACCTTTTCCTGCTTTCGTAGGGTCAATCATAAATCGATTGACGAGATTCATTTGTACTGGATCAGGAAAATCAGTCAAATAAACAGCAGCTGGATCAAATGCATTTACAATCAATGGACTCCCATCAATTGGTTCATCATCTTTTAAAATATGAATTTCAACAGGGCCTAAAAATAAAATAGAGATGTACACAGCTATTCTACTGTGGAGAAAATGTGTTATTTTGCTTTAAAAACAACATTCTACAATTAAGATAGAGCTATATAGACATCTCTAACTTTATATTCAATTGTATAGAGTTCTGAAAACATACCGACAATCGAGGGTTCATAGAAAATTCGTTTTCGCCCATCAATAAGATATTCTGTTTTGTAATTAATAACTTTTCCGTCGGCATCTAAAAAACAAATCTTACTTAAAAATATTCGTTTTGAATTCAAAAACAAAATCTTTTACCAAATATTTTAATATGAAAATTATTGTCTGGATCTTTCAAACTGAATTTTGAAACAATCCGCACACCTGGATCACTTAAATCTGTTATATCGAGTATTTGCACTTCAGGACTTGATCGACTGTGCGTAGAAGATTTTCGATGAGATTCATTACCCAAGGGTGGTGAAATATTTTCTATTGTTTCTTTAATTGGACTCGCTATTTTCGATGATCGATTCGATGATGTACGTGATGATAAAGTTTCAGATGTTTCACTAATCGTTGTTAAATCTTTTCCAGCAAGAATTGGCATAAATGAATCTATTGCACTACTGTTATTATTGCTATTAATATTTTTCAATTGTTTATCTGTTGGAAATTTTTCTTCCGGCGGCGGTGGTGTCACAATAGGTGAAAGTGGGACGTAATCATCATCGTAGGCAAACACAGGTAATAGAGCAAAATTTTTACTATCCTCATTTGATATACGAATCCAATGGGTACCTTAATGAATTCAAAGTAGAAAGTACAAAATAGTGACAAAAAAAAAGAAAAATTACTTACCAACGCGAATAGGCGATAGAGCAATGATTAATTCTCCATGATCATTTTTTGCACGATGAAATGGTATTAATCTTTCAAATGGGTCTATTAAGTGAAAAAAGATAGATTTTAATTCTTTTTTTCAATGATCATTTACCAGTAATATCTATTTGTAACTTTTCAATATTATCTATGACACCTTCAAATGTGTGTTCAAGAGCTTCTTTTACTTGTACACGAAGTACTGGCTCGAATGGAGCGCCAGCTCCAAATGAATTTATACGAATTGGACATATATCAAGTAGATTGTTTTGTGTTCGAATAAATACTTCATGAATATCTAAACAAGTAAAACGGCAAATTAATCTTTTTTTCAAACCTATATAAAATGTTTTTCATTTATCAAGATATCTTCACTCAAAGCATTTCATTTCACTACTTTTTAATTATAAATTCTCTTAGTAACAAAAATTTAGCCATAAATAATTAGTACTTGTATAGGAATCTTCATGCATCAATAGGATCTTCGCAAACTATGTGCAAAGTTACAGTAATTGTTTCTTTTTTTTACATCGAATGATATGAATCTGTCAACAGGTAAATAGTTCATTATTATTGTTATTCAATTTTTCTTCTTCTTTAGAAGCGATTTTTAACATCCCACCCTCAACAATTGAATAAAAACCTTATGTGACTTACTCAGTTTCGTCGGTACATATTCTATGATAAGATCGCGATTTAAATTTTTATAAAATGCTGCTGGAATCGTATGAGCTGATGGATCTACAAATAAAAATGCCCATAATAAATAGTAATGAAGTAAAAACGGATGTCCTCCTCGTTCGCACCTTTTACAATGACATTAACATCACTTGCATTAATTTTACTTTGATCAACGATCAAACGAGTTATATCGTCGACGCCACCGTTACGAAATAAATCTGTTTCTTCAATGACACAATGTATATCAAATATTTGTTCATCATTATTATCGTCAACACTAAATTGATAATCATCTGTAAATTAGAAAAAATAAACAAATTTTAATTGACGAATCGGCAACAATGAATTAGTTTTACCAGTTTCAGTTAAAGTAAAATAAATTTTGCACTGTGATGAGTCTAATTGCATTTCAATCGGCACTTCATCACCATTTGAACCTAATAAATTAAAGAAAATTATCTTCCCTGTCGTTAAAAAAAAAGTTTCGTCTTACGTCTTAATCGAATTTTTAAATTTTCATTTTTAGAAGTAATTGTAATCAAATTAAGAATATTCGGATGAATTATTCTTTCGCCTTCAATTATTCTTCCATAGTTCGCTGGTAAAATATCCATCGAAGCAAGAATAATCGGTGATTCATCATTACCATTATCACTTGTTTGAAGTTGATAAATACCAGATTTAAAAGGTTCAAATTCAACACGCCATCGACCCCCGGAATCTTGTATTCTTGTATGTTTAATAATGATCTGATCGGGATCTAAAGAAAGCCGTGATTGTTAAATGGAAAAGCAAAAAATAAACAACAACATACCGGTCACAAATAAATCAAAATCTTCATAAATTTCACTTAATGGTGAATTACAAATGAGCCAAGCAAGTTCGCCGACTTTTGTACCTTCTAATTGTCCACCAATTAAAAATTCATGATCATCAACATCATCTTCGTCGTCTTCTTCTTCTTCTTCTTCTTCCTCTTCTTGTCCATTTTCTTCGATAATTTCGTGATCGCTCGATGTTTCATCACGAATATTGATTTCGAATGGACTACCTTCAACTGGTATACCATTAAATGCAATCGTAATTGAATGTTTGCCTTTGATTTCTGGTAGAAAACCAATATCGAATTTTCTTGCTTGAATACTTTTAAGTTCAGCTGGTAAAGTTCGTCGACCATCGTTTATTGTTACTTCTAAATGGCCTTCGCCTGCACCATGTGTATCAACAGTAAAAATCAATGGAACTCCAACAGTTCCATCGTTAATAGAGCTAATACGAATTTTGTTTATATCGAAAACGTCAATATGATAATTTAATGTCCGTTGATCATCGTAATTTACTAATACTGTATGTTGTCGTGCAAGATTAGGCGTGAATTTTATTTGATAACGAGGTTTTTCATTTGACAACGAAGTCATGGTATGTGGAACAATTCGACCACCATGAGATTCACTGATAAGTACAGAAATAGTTTTTGCTTCATCAAGATCAACTATTATAGAAGAGAAATATTTCATTAGAATTAGCAGGAGAAAAGTATCAATTTACCAGTGAAAACTATTGGCTGACCAACAATACCAGAAGGAATGTGTGAAACACGAACTTGTTTTGAATCAGTTTTTATTGGTATTGTGAGTGTACCCACTGGAGAAATAAAAAAAGAAATAATGAGCTTACATTGACTATAGGTTCTATATTGTTTTATTCGACGTATCATCTGGCACAACCGATTATAATTAACACAACAACAAATTATTATTAACAACTGACAAAAGTGACACGTTTTGTTTTCTGATGTATTTATTTTGATAGGTACGATTAGTTCAAGAACTAGTTATTATAAATATTTCCTACATGAAACATAACGGGTGAGAGAATAAAATTTTTTATGTTTAAACTTAAAGAAGGATATGTCGATTAACAAATGTTTTTTTTTCCATAAGTTAATCTTTCAATTGAATATTAGAAATGAATTCAAAATATTCCAAAGCAAGGTTTAACGGAGTAATTACGATGTGAGTTTAGCGGAATTTTACATATAAGGTTGATTGTATACTCATGAATTTTTGAAATTTTCTCCTTTACACTTTCTACTTGACAATATTAAAAAAAACAGTTGCATATCGCTTCACGAATTGGTCTGATCGTTTTTTTTCTTCTTCTTCTTTCCTATCCTACAATGGAGACATTTGACTGAGTTGTATGTGTGAGTACAGATAAGATCTAGATCGACACATTCAGTTACACCTACATTCACACCATTATACTTGAATTGTAGACTGCTCATTGGAACAGCTTTATCCATGATTTCGATCTAGTCTTTCATCTGTTCAGTAGACTCATTATAATCAGTATAAAATTCTATTACTCGTGGCTGTACAAACTATTTATACATGTGCAAAAATCTTTAGCGTACAAACGAGAGCTGTCTACATAACCGTATTCTATATCATTAATTACACGCAATACTACACTCTAGTTGACAAGGTCTTTTCGAAAGAAAATTGGTTCAGCTAGTACAAAGAAGAAAAATAATAAATTTACGTCGGTGTTTCTTTCTACTGTCTAGCACATGCTTTATGAATATATGCAACAAGTAGACGCGAGTAATGGAGTAACATTTGATATTAATGTTTTTTCACGATATTTGATGAGCTAATGAACCACCTCCAACCATACATTATGTTACGGCGTGTATCGCAATAGGGCGAATACAACATTTTAACTATATAGACTCGTATTTACCGATTAAGCATGCTGTCGGCTATCGAAAATAATTATACGAGAGATATTTTCTTTTAAGACAGATATTTTTCAGTAAAACTACCTGAATTGACTTACAGTTATTTTCTCCATTAAATGATATCGTTACAAAACATTCATCTTGAGTTTCGGGGAGAAATGTTATTTCATAGATATGAAGATCGATCCGAGCTTGTTCATGTGCTAAACGGTTTCCACTTTGTTTAATTTTTACAGATACATGACCATCGCCAGCATCCATTGTATTGACTACAAGAAAGAGAAATTAAGAGAAATTCATTCGAGAAAAATCTCACTGGTAAATTTATAGAGTTGATGCGGAATAGCCGCTGGTAAATCGCTTATACGAATTTTAGTTGCATCATAAACTTGACATATAAATTTTGTAATCATACACTTTTTATCATTATCAGTATAAAACATAATATGATGATCGCCGATTTCATTTGGAGTATATTGTATTGCATAGATATTCGCTGATTTTTCTTCGATTTTTCCTTGTATACAATTGCCGGACGGCGATACTATGTCGATGTGTAAATTTGGATTAAATTTTGAGTTTGACTTTGGCTTGATGAGAAGTAATGATCGTTTATTAATTGGTGCGTATTCATAATTTTCAAATGTAAAATCACTTGACAATACATTACATGTAAATGGTGATCCTATATAAGAACAAGAAAAGAAAAGAAGAGATTTGTTGGTAAATTTATTCCTTTAATATGAAAATATGCAATCATCGGACTGATCTAGAATTCGGGCTTCGTTTTCTAGATAATTAAATCTGCCTGTTTCTTACCATAAAGATCAACTCCGTTAAATTTAATATGAACAAAATAACTTCCAGCTTGATCAGGAATAAATTTAACACGAAAACGAGCACCACCTTCATTTTGTACATAATTCGGTATATTTTTATCATCAATTGATACCGCTATTTCAAGATTACCCGAACCGGAATCGGTTGCGTCGACTACATAGAGCAAAAACGTAAAAAAGAACAGAATCCCGTATTCCATTTTTAACTTACTAATAAAATAAGCTGGTGTATCCACCATAATCGTTGATGGAAAATCGCATATCTTGACTTTGTTAACATCGAAAGCGCGAGCAACATATGGATTACTATCATCTACAGGAATATTGTCATGTGAAATATCTATTTGAAATTCACCTAAATGCAGCCCATTTTATTGATGAAGAATAGGTGAAAAATTAATTTCAATTACTAACCAACACAATCCGGTGTATAAGTTACTTCATATCGACTTGCATCCATTTTTGCCATAACACAGGAAATCATATGATCCGCAGGACCTGTAAAACAATTTCTTGTCGACATTCGATATAGAAATTTATCAAAACTTACATCTAGTTAGTATGAATATTTCTTTCAAGCTATATTAGGAAGAAAACAAAACACCAAAAAAAGAAAGAGCACAAATTCGAATATTTAAACTGTGCTCGAGACCATCACCATAATATTAATAAATAAAAACAGACAAGCTATTTTATACTAAACCTTTTATAGAGCATTTCAAATCGCCAACGCCAGCATTTTGTGTTAAAATCGTGAACGATGTTGGAATATTAACAGGTACTGATCCAAGACCTTTACCAAAGACGACAACACGTTGAGTATCCATTACATTAACACCAAAAGGACTTCCTAAAAAACAAAACAAAAAACGAATCATAATCGAATTAAACAAGAAAGTCTTTTCAATCACGTCTATATTGAATAAAACCATCATCATAGATATAAAATTCTCTATCTAACCATGAACTACATGGACAACCATTCGAGATACAACAACACATCGTTCCTTATAATAATGATATGTGTACATGACTTTCGGTCTTATTCAATTTTTCTCTTTTTTTTCTGGGTCTTTCTCGATTGAAAAAAATCCTTTGAACGTGATATATCTTATGAGAATGTAATAAGGAAATACCTGAAGATGAATGAAACAAGGATGATGTCCCATCACTAGCAACTACTGGATGATCGAGACTAAGCATCGTACGTACACATATACTTTCGTCGTATCTAGTATTTTAAATGAATTGAAAATTGAATTGTTTCGCTCATTCGCTCATTCACTCTCTCTCGCTTAGTAAAGTCGATGCGCTTGAGAGACCTGCATATACACATATCTATGTATACATATGTCCAGTTTCGCTATTTCGTTTTGCTTCACCCAACATTTTTCCTCGTCCGTCTTCATAATGGCATGTCTATGCATCATCAGTTTCTGTTTGCGCTCTCGTTTACTCCCATATGAACAACAAAACAAAGAATAACTATCAATACATTACGAAAAGAAGATAAAAAAAAAATTTTCTTGCAAAATATTATTAACGGCTAGTAGAAAAAAAGACTACAAAATCCAGTAGTGGCAAACTTGAAACTTGAATTCAGTCGACAATAGAAAATTTCAACTTATAGCGATATATGTGTGAGCCACTATTCTTCAGAATGCTATTGGTTTAAAAGTTGAAAATAGAAATTTTCAATTGAATTCAAGTTTCAAGTTGGACATATATGTGAAAATCCTGCCTATCCAACACGTTTGGTTGCGTTCGAATGAAGTCAGAATCAGTGAGGGAAAAAACCTTGCTTATATAAGCTTTATGAGATAGTCAAGTATTATTTTATGAATAGGTACAAAGAAGAAGAAGAAGAAGAAGAAAAAAATCTGCTCGCTTTGTGTTTTTTTCTTCTTCATGGCTATATATAAAATTATACATACCGAGCACAAGCTCGCCATTGAATAGGATATTACAATAGTGTACTGTTGCTTCTTGAGGAATAAACTGCACTTCGAATCGGCTATTACCAATAGGAATAACTTGATTTGGAATGTTACGGCCAGAATAATTTACACTGATTTCAAGATTTCCTTCGCCTGCTCGAGATGCATCGACTATTAATAGTAAATGAGAAAGGAAAACGTTGAATCTTTTTCTTTCGTCAGTGAGAAAATCTAAAACTCACTAAGAAACCTTGTTGGTTTTCGAACAGCACTCTCGCTAGTAGGTGGTGTCACAATAACTTTTTTTGGATCATAACATTTCACACGAAATGGACTGCCCGGTACAGCATTACCACCAAATGCTACATGAACTGTATAAGTGCCCACTTCTGATGGTATCCAATCGACTCGAAGACCATCTGCAGTAAGTCGTGTTGATGGATTTAATTTTTCATTCGTTGGTGTAAACACAGTAACTTGTACATCTGTTGTATTACCATGAGGTGTTTCAACAGTAAACCAAGTTTGTGCACCAAGTAATGCTTGACTGAGACCAGGACCTCGCGTTGTTATGTCATTGGTTGAAAGTATTTGACATTCCTTTGGAAAACCTATATTAAAATTAATTAGTACGTCGTTTTTTATTATTATTCAGATAAGATATCTCTCTGTGTTACCAGTTAGTTGATTTCCATTGAATTTAATTGAAATCGTATGCGTATCGTTCGTTTTTGGAATAAATGTAAAAAGAAATTTCGCATTTCCTAATGCTTTCACTTGATTCGGTACTAGGCCATCATTGATAGCAACTTCGAGTTGTCCTTCGCCTGCTTTAGCGGCATCGACTGTAAATTCAACCGGATCATTGAGTGTAACAAGACGTGGAATTTCTGAGACAGCTAAACGAGATGTATCATAGGCTTTCAGAGCAAACGGCGAACCATTTATATCCATTTTCTCACTACTACTATGGTTCGATCGTATGTCCACACGATGCGTGCCTAAAGAGAGTGAAGAAAAAATACAAATAAACATGTCATTAATCATACATTGATTTGATGTCATTCTAATAATGCCTCTAGGCAATTAGTAAATTAAATTAAAAATACGCTGTTTTAAAAACGTCCATTTTAAAACCACAAAGAATTATACTTTTCTTTCGCTATAAAATCAATGATGTTTACAATTGAATAGTATAGACATAGAGGAGAAAAAGAAGATAGGTGGAAGTCGAAGCAGTGTTTTCTTTTTGTCGTCCTTTTCTATTTGATCTACATACCACCACCGTACTTGAAGGTATGTCTATTCACATATCGTCAAATGACGGCGACGAGAAAAATACCGAAAGAGAAAGAGACAGAGAGAAAGAGAGACACACACACACACACACACATATAGTGATGTGCCATTCTATACATAAGATAAATGAGTGCGCTTTTTGTGACGCGTGGGTGTCCTTGATTTTGTATACAAGCATTGCAGCAAGTGTTACATCAGTTATTAGGATAGAAAATGAATTTCTTTTTTTTGTTGAAAGATAATATGTTGTATCTGATTTGCATTTAAACAAATCATTATTTATCATCGAATTTGCTAAGCTTCAAACATTGATCATTATGTAAATTCATATCTAAATGGAGGATCTACCATAGTCATTCGTATGCTTTAATCAATGTCATTCGAATAATTGTAGTTGTTTTATAGTGAATTTTTTGCAAAATTTTGAAAAAAAGAATTCGGATACTATTGATTTATTTCTATTCGATTAATTAACCAAGTGCATTGTATCCGATGACACGATCATCACTATTATCCTTTTCTTCTTATCTTTTGTTATTTACTCACTTACCGATCTCGTTTAGAGCATAATCAATACGTGTAATGCTTTCGTTCAATTGTGACCGTTTCAAATGAACAGGACGACCCGATGGAGCTTAAAATACAGGAAAAACAGAAACAAAAGCATAGAATTTCTAATTGAAAAGTTCTAATTCTACCAGTAATCACTACATCAATTGCGGCATTTTGATTATGATAATTATAAAAATCTTCGTGGTGAATGTCAAATGACAATGGAAGACCAACAGGAGCACTTGTCAAACTATCGGATACACTCACACAAGATAGATCATTTATATAACATGAAAATGGACTACCTAAAAAGACAAATAACCATTGATGATATCTTTCGATTATTCTTCTTCATTAATGATCATTACCAGGTGCATGTAGTCCATTGAATTTAACATCAACTGTGTATCGTCCAGGTTCTCTCGGTAAAAATGAAGCATCAAATCTGCATGAGCCACGCGATGCTGCATCACACGGCATTCGACCATCTTGTACAATTATTTCTAATTGACCAACACCAGCTTCACTAGCATCAATATGAAATCGAACTAAATGACCAACTAAGCCTCCGTCAATGTTTGAAACTTTTATTTGATTCGTATCAAAGACGTTAACTTTAAATGGACTACCATTAACAACTTCATCACCATAAATTACGTCAATGTAGGTTTCGCCAACTTCATTTGGAGTGTAATTTACTGTCCATGTGCCATTACGATTATTGATTACTAGCATGTAACATGCTTGTTTTGATGGTGCTAATAAATAGTAGAATAAAATCGCCGATAAGTTGATATATTGTTTATGTTTGTTTTTTCAAATTTTACTTGTGACAAGAACTTTGACATCTTCATTGGGATTGGGTGCAGCATGCGCATCAACAGTAAATGAACTTTGAATACCTACTTGAGCTTGTCGAAGACCATCACCGAATGCACGAATTAAAGTTTTTGGATTTTGATCGTCGACGACATTTTCATTTTCTATATATATTTTTTTAAATACATAAATAAATTAAGTTGATTCTCATAAGGTTTCTTTTTTGTTTTTCACACGTTGATGATGATGATGATGTCATTAGACGAAAGTAAAATAATCAAAACTCACTTGTTTCATCGTTATTTTCAATGTGTCCATAATATTTAACGCGTTTTTCATATCTGTACATATACATTGCGACGTTAAAAAAAAGTTTCGTATGTTTTTTCTATTATTCTTCTGTATGTATAAATCAATAAAAAATGATGATAATTATGTCGAATAACGAAGAAGAAAACATTTTATTCGTACACATGATAATCTTCGTCGTCGTCTTCTTCTTCTTCTTTTTTTTGCGCGTGAGACATCGTCATTATTTTTTCTCTTTTGTAAACATAAAGTCTATCGATCGAATTGGCTCTACGAGTTAGATAATTTCATCGGTAATCAAAAGGAAAAAGACAGCCTATTCTTGTTATTTCTTTTTATATCCTATATTTATCAAATCAATTAATTTATGTATTCGACGAGCATAACTAGAACACGAAAGAACACAATAGACATATACATATTAAATCTCCTATAAATTACTAAGAGGATTTACACCTTCAATTTTTATTGAATTGAAAGAAAGAATCGAGGAAGAGAAGAACAAAAGCAAACTCTCTACATTGATATTTATCTGAAGATTATATGAAGAAAAAAAAAACGAAGACCAGATACTCTTCACATCTGGTTAACCTTTGAGTTCTCGGCAGATATAAAGGAAAAATTATTAGTTAGTAATCAATAAAATTAAGCCGAGATCACCTACGAATATGCAAACGTCGAACGAACATAGTATTTGTTTATTATTTGGTTTTTCTTGCATAATAAAATATCGTGCATGATAGACAATCGTCTCGAAGTTTACGGTGTGCTTTTTGTTCAATTCTCTAAAGATTGATTTGGTCAAGAAACATCGAGAGTGTATATCATAAATAATGTATGCATATACATGAACATGTCACTATTTTACAAACGTTAAAATTATCTGGTTGTCATGTGCTGATGATTATCTTGGTAATCATGTGTTTCATGCATAAGAACGCAAGATGTCAGTTTGCACAATGCAAATCATCATGTACGTTAAATGTTGTTGTCATTGAAAATAAGCAAAAAAGAATAAAAACGAATTGAATATATTAGTAAGCAATTTATTGATTTATGATTTGCTCATGTATTACTTTTCTAATGGTTCAAAACAAACGAAAGCTTAGTTTTACACATAATTTACCATGATTGGGGAAGAATGCTCGTTTTTCTTGATAAATTGTCGAATATATTGGATACGTTTTTGAAGGCAGATACAGATATTTTTATACTTGTTGGAGAATAGAACGTATTAGGTCGGTGCATTGGATTCAATTGGAGCTGAATTTTTTTTCTATACAATGAACTTTACACAATGGAGATTAAGTAGTGCATCGACAGAAGCAGTGTACTAATTGAAATTAATACTATCATAGTTTTTTCATGTTCAAATATGACATCATCAAAGGCATATGGTGAAGTTTTTCTTCTTCTTCTAAGGATAGATTATAACCGTTAAATTAACATGATTTTCATAAATTGATCATTATTCGTCTCTCTATCAGAAGTATTAGCCTTCAACAAAAAAAAACGAAGCTTTTTTTTCTTTCGATAACTTGCAAAGCTTTTTTTAAGTTCAGTTAAAAGAGTACATTATCTATTCTAAGCTGCATAATTCAATCGATTTGACTCCTCATTTGAATGAAGAAAGAGAAAACGAATCGATGCTAATCTGTTCTTAAAAATTGGTTTAGTGATAGTATCACCTTGGACGGTACGCATTTATTAAAGTTTGTTTCATGAAATGTCAGACCAGAAATATCTCAATACGTATTAAGATTATTTTAGAGAATAATTAATTTCTTATTTATAAATCTATATTTTTTTGTGTCGAGATCAATATCCTTCAAAAACATTCCTATCGATGACAATGAATTTGCCCGTTAATCCTTACGTTCGTTATGGCAGACAAGAACTCGTCGTTGGAGACACATATTTTTTCGAAGAAAACGGTGAGTGTACATTTAAAAGAGAGATTTTGTGCAGCTCCGTTCCCATTATAGCGACCAGTGTAGAACTTACTTAGTTAGTTCCAAATCCGAAGGGGTTACACTAATAGATTTTTTCAAATGTTATTCATCTTATCTCACTCGCTGATCTTCTTGTGTTTTTAAAAGCTAATCAATCGTTATATGTTCTTTTTTTATATTCATAATTTAGACAATAATGACCAACATATGTTGGCCATTATTTATATCTCATATACTTTATCTTCTATATAATTAACTTACATTAGGATGATTCATATTAAACTATTTGACGAAGTTACATAGATTTTGAAATATACACTTGAATTACTATCCAGTGAACAAGGTCTTGTTACGCATGTGCTGTGCTCTATGTTAACGACATTCATTCAAACTTAATCGTTTTAAAAATCAATGAACCACGCAATGACTCGATATAATAAGCAAATAGACGCTTGAAATTGTGTATACTTGACTTTTATGCCATAGGAATCGACTGTGTCGTTTGAGCAATGTCTGGAAATTGAAAGTAAGAATTCTTCGGTTGGATCTGTCTGATTACAATCAGATTAAGTGGTTGAATTCTCGTGTTTGACTGAGTATGATTTTCCGTTGGTACGTATATTGTTGCAATCGATTAATTTTATTCGATTTTTATTATGAATTTGATGCACATATAATGAATTTTACGTTTCCGAAAGGCTTTTAAATTGTACTATATTATTTAAAAGACAGGAAAACTGCTCATTTATTATTCGATGTATGAAGAGCTTTTTATTGATCGTTATTTATCACTGATTTTTTTCTATTTTGAAGTTCTTCGATCTCCGAAAAAACAGAGTGACTCGATTGTTATGCAATAGTGTCCAATACGAAAAAATTAGATTTCATTGATACGATGAAAAATTGAATCGTGATTATTCGAAGAAATTGCACTTAAAGTCCTTCTGTATGCTTTGAAAAAAATCTTATTCAAATCTCTTAGTGATTTATTGACAAAAGATAACTTTATGACGACAACACTATATTACTGTCGTCTAGCAATTTTTATTAACTATATGATTCTTAAGATTTTTATTCATTTATTGAGGCATATCGTTGATATACGTTTCGAAAATGACACTCAATAGATTGAATGACTATGTGCCAAAGATTTATCACTATTGTTTTTAGTCTCTGCTTGGTCACTTGGACCGAAAGTGTGAGTTATCCAAAAATGCCCATGATGAATACCAGTATTTTATTTTCTCATTTAAATATATTCGAAAGATCTTCATCATTCAAACCAAATAAACAACAAGAGAGCGAACATTTATGTCTAATGCATTGCACATTTACGATACCATTCGATGCACCACTAGTTGTACCATCAACCTGCCGTGAACAGCTAACAACGAACCCATGTCAAATGTCAGTTATAGTTGATTATACTCACAAAGAATTAGTTTTTTTCTCTTTGGATGAGATAATGAGCTTAACTGTTAATGGTGCTCGTTTTGATACCGTTTCTAGCGAAGTGCTCGGTTTTCAATTCATGTACAATATACTATCTTGTATGGTTCACCATGCATGTTCAAATGGTGATAAATGCGAATGGAATTATTTAATAGGAAAAATTCAGGATCTAACCAAACGTGATTATCAACCATTGTATAATTCAGTGTCATTAAAACTTTATATTGAACAACCTGAGTCTACGGTTTCTCATTGTTATTCTTCAAATGAATTAACTGAATGCTCAGGTGGTGCATGTTTTTTTGTTGAAAGCGTTAACCAAGAAACTTTTACACCAGTAATAATTCGTAATTGTTTGTTGGATGAAATGCCAATGCTTCATTTTGCAAGAAGTCAATATACACCTGGTCCAACGAAATATGATTCTGATGTTTTGGCTTTTGCGTGCAATCTAAATGAATGTAACAGTCCTACGAATGAACTTACTATTAAACGATTAGTTGGATTTAATGAGAATAAAAGTATTGGTTTGATAAAGACAGGATGTTTATACTTAATAATTGGCTTGTATTTCATTATTTCCACATTGATTTAAATCGTTTGACTTAATTAAAAATAAAATTTTTAAAACGAACTTCAAAGGTTATTCGATTTATTTTATCCATAGAAAATTAGATTAACTTTTATTTGTAGTTGAACGAAAGAGAATGCGAATTCGCCAAACAATATATTGTGCATTTAGTTCATAAAGCTAAGTCAAGAGCCTCTGTCAATCAATTGCAATGCTAAAAATAGATTTAGCGTTATTGAGAAATCTCTCTCTCTCTGCAAAGGCTACCCGCAAATAAAGAATCTCTATGATCTTTTGTCGCCAAAGACTTTTACTACTACATAGGGATGTGCAGTGTCGGTGTAAATACTGAAAAACTGACCACTGGACACACTGTCGGTGTGTCCAGTGGAGCGCTGACGCCATTTTTGACGTAGTCAGTGCTCCACTGTGTTCAGCGTCGGTGCTCCAGTGGACACAACGCCGGTGCAAGTCAGTGGTCAGTACACCGACACTGCACATGTCTACTCCTACATTTTTTGGATTTCTTTCGATTGAAACTTGAATGTCAACATTCAATTACCGTTCGATGGAGGGATTACCTATAAATCTACCCCTCGATTTAACTGACATTTTTCACATACGACCCTAATTCTTTCATAGTTTTTTGTGTGACCAAATCAAATGATTGTAAAAGAAATTAGATGTCGTTCTTTCATCCAGCATTCTATTCATTATCATTTACTTTCAGTAAATCTTATAAAAAAAACCCTTTGCGTTTTTCACACAATCCTAATAATTATATTTCATATTTTTTTCAATTTTCAAGAAAAATTTAAATTAAGACTCTATATTTTAATCGACGGAATGATTTGCTTGCGTTACGTAACAGATAAGAAACATTGATAATAAGAATAATAAGAATAAGAATAACAACAACAGCAACAACAACAACAACAACAAAGGAGGAGGAAATAATATGTAGGCATACATCATGTGCAATCACTGTTGATCTACTAATCGAGAAAAAAAAATAAACGACGAAAGATACAGACACACATGCAAAGACATTTAGCAGGAACACGCTCTATCAACAGAATACACAAGAGAGGAGAGAAAAAAATGGTTTGACGTCGGTTAAACATTGATTTTTTTAAATATAAATGTAGAAATCACCGGCTTCAGACAAGGACGGACGAATTTAGGAAGGATCAAGACGATGATACGACCATATCTTGAATATGTGCAAGTAAGTCAGCATAAAGCTTTTCTGTATTCGATTCATTAGCAAATGCTTGCTCGAATTGACGGCGTTGCTCAATATTCTTTAACTAAAATAAATTAATCAATCGTTTTTGTTTCGTCTATTTCACAATTACCTGTATATAATATTCACGACCAGCAAGAAAAAATAGACGATTATCTAATTCTTCGAAGCGAGCACTAAAACGTGATAGCGTCAATGGAAACCTAAAAAGATCGTATTATCAATAAGAGTTGATTGAAAAATTTCGCGCACATGTATAGTGTTTAGTAAAAACGTAATTCTCATGAAGTCTTTAGTTTTTTATTTTATCAAGCTGAATTATATTTAGGAAAGACTCGAATATGAACAAATACCAGAGTTTAAAGGTACGCTTAAAACTCTCAATGAATTTTTTATAATTACACTGAAGAGGTTTGGAATAGAATGAACGAAAACTCGAAAAGCTCGTAAAATATCTACTTCACCATGAAAATGCTAGCGTTAGACTCAGTCCAGAAAACTTCCTATGAGAAACTTACAGTGAATCAGCAATAGCATGTGACGGACATGCGCTTAACATAAGACAGGTTAATCCCCATATGGCCATACGTATTGGTTTTCTTTGTGCAATACTAGTCATTGATAACAATGTCCATTCGTTCACTTTGGGTGAATAATGTGCATTAATTAAAGCTCGAAAAACTGCAAACACAGTATAGGCAAGTATTTGAGGATATAATTGTTGTGTTGATGCTGCAAATTCAAGAACCATTTTATTCATTAGGCGATCCGATAGGCCAATGTGTGCAAGTAATGATGGTAATGGACGTAGAAGAAGTATGGCTTCGTGTGGCAATGTTGATGATTGTTTTGTACGTTCATATAATTCTCCCACAAGTTCCATAACAATATTATCCGATGATGATATTACTGATGAGCCTTCAATCATTTCTTGTTCCTCATTGGCATGTTCATTGTTCGATGCATTTGCACTATCATTTGTTCTTTGTGATAATGTATAAATACGTGCAAGTATTAAAACAAGATGATCGATATTTAACCATGACGATTGACGAAGTGCTGTTATTGCACGTTTATACAAACGCCAGATGTCATTTTTAGGATATTGCCCAAGTGTTAGAAGTCTTTCGAGACCAATCGATATTATTTTTTGTGTTAAATTATCATTGATATCAATGGTATCATCTTTAAATAATGATGATAGTAGGTCATAAGAATTTGTATAGTTATTTTCAATAATATAAAATAAATTTGTTAGAATAAAGCCATTTAAACGTGCGTCTAAATTAACTTTTAAATTAGAATTTTGTATATCACTATTTAATTCTTGCATTAATATTGGTATTAAAGCTTTAGTTAAATCGTCTTCGTGACTTTCAAGTAAAAATAAACATGATGCATATGCATGCGTTTTTGTTATGAATTTAAAATTACGTTCAATTAAACGTATATATAATTCATTGGATTCTTTATTTGTTTGTCCAAGAAGTACACCGGACTTGCACAAACCATAACTTATTAACGATATCATTAGATCATCTTCATCGAACCAAGTTCGAAAATATTCATCACATAAATCATAGAGATTTGATAATTGTTGAGATGATGTAAATAAATCCGAAAGATAAATAAATGAACGCATTAATTCATATTTTAGTTGTAAACATAAACTATTCGGATTTGTTGTTAGCCAACTAACATAGAGTTCAATTAGAATTTGTAACGATGAAGTTAAATCAAGGCCATGACGAGAAAATAAACGATCAAATAAACTCTAAAAAATATATTTCAATAGTGAAAATTGAGGGTGCTTTGGAATTCTGAGAATTTGACGTAAGCTGTAAAGGCATAGAAACTCTTGTGTTCGTCTTTTATCTGTATGAAAAAATTAAAATTTACTTCCACCAGATTAAATTTGTCAAAATAAATAATGTGACGCCAATCTACAAGCATATTTTCTTTTTCATATCTAATGCGAATGCTACTATTTTATAGTTTATCAATAGTTAAAACAGATATAAACTCACGTTTGCAGGTAATGGTAATGCATTGTTACTTTGAATTGATGTTAATATTGTATCAAAGGAAAGTTGCCCATATGACAATAAGTCATTTGTACCTGATCGTTCAATATTTGTAAATAAATTACTTAAACTTGCGTCTAATGTTGAGCGTGTTTGAATATATTGAGCACCGGTATCGGTTAATAAAAATGGGATAGATTTGTTTCGGCATCGATGTTCAAATGTTGTATCTGCTGGATTGCCTGAACAATTCAATCGAAGCGCATTTAACAAAAATGTTGTTACGCCACGAATCCATATACTACAACAAAGAAAAATATCTACGATCTATTATCTTTGCGTGATATCAATGTAGAAAAGTGACAAAATAGTTTTATGCAGAAATCGACGGCTCGGAGAGAGTAATGATAATCGTTTTCTTCCGATTTCAAAAGACGGCTACCTGCTATTTCTTCATAGTTATCGTATGCGAGAATATCTACTGCAAATAATCAACAGAATGAATTCAACATACATTATTTGATAATGCTCTCGGCATTGTCTCCACGGAGACCAGCAATAAGTATACAATAGAATATGTTTTTTTTCTTTTCTTACCATTGTGTTGCATTTGTTTCTAAAATTTCTTCTTTCGTTAAATTATTTGTCATTTGTTCATGATCATCATTATTTTGATGAGCTGGATTCATTGAAGCCAAAAACGAGACCCATATTTCTTGAAATTGTGTTCTTGACAACCAGCCAACAAGTGATATACGTTCAGTGTAATCAGCCATAATTTCTGAATGTTGTAATAAATCGGCTGGAAATGATGATAGACAATAATCCGTGGAACCGAATTGTAACTTTATGTCGTGTTGATTTTGTTCCCAAAACTGTTTTGGTATGCGAATAAATGAATTAAATATGGGCAAACGAAATAATAATATAGCTATTCGACGTAGATCATGCCGATAGAAATATGGAATAGAATTAATTTCTTTGGTTAATTCATAAAGACGGTTAAGATCATTGAATGATGTAAGTAAAAAATGTGTAAATGGACGTGTGTCAGGTTCGATTAAATTTAAATATGATTTTAATCCTTGATTTTTTTGTTTGCATTTGATAATTAAACCATTTCGGTGAAAAAGATATTCGAATATGGCGAGTATTGTTTTGGCTAGCGTACAACACGATATAATTTGATCTGGCGCACTAAATAATTGGTAGATTATTGATGTTGGATTATGTATTGTTTTGGTTAAACAACGGCAAAAACTTTCAATTAAATTCCAACTGAGATATGCTTTCTTGCGTGAAATTTTTATATAAATTATTTCTGCGCTGAATATTATAAATCGTAATAAATCACGTGTATCACCTGAAGAAAACTGACATGCTAATTCAGTGTTGGTTTGCACAGTTTCAAAATATATCGATATGGAATCGATTAAGGCAATTAAATATGGTTGATTATTAGAACATTCTACAAGACTTTTTATATAAATAGAATCAGGTGTTGATTCTTCATCATTGATTTTAATTTCAGTAGGAATTAACCGTTGTGTTGGCAATGAAAAACATAGATCGTTGATTTTTTTAATTAATGCACTCGTTGCTGCACGCCATAATGATGGAATTTGAGTACCAAGGATAAGACAATGCGGCATCGATAGCCATGTAAAATCCTAAACAAAAATTAGAAAAAAACGAATTGTTAACAGTATGGATGAGACACAGTAAAAGATCAAGCTATTCTGGATTAATTATAGTAAAGATTTTGATTAGAAATATTCCTGAATTTGTGATGTAATGAAACATATGACTGAATATAGAAAAAACTAGGGAATTTAGAGTTTATTTCGATTCGCTAACTTTAGAAAAGCATAGTTTTTAAAATTGAGGTGTTATCGGCCGTTCACAATGACATCCTCAATACTGACTTTGTCAAATCTGTGTATCAAAATATGCTGTAAACGTTATAGTTTACTATCGTTGTGTTCATCGATTGCTACACTCCTACTGAGAATTAGAAATTGCATCGTATTAAATAAATCTATCATCTGAAATGAAGTTATCCACTCAATTATTCTTTCTTTCTGAAATTTACGGAACGAATCCATTAATCTTCGAACATTTGGTTGCAAAGATAAGGAATCTCAAAGCGCGGTCCTCTACTCTACTTTAAACACTCTTCTTTCCAGCAAATATCCTGTTGAATTCTTAGTACAATCCTTAAAATTCGAAGTCTCCTATTTCCATTCGATCATCGTCACGAGAAAGACCTACCTGTGACATCATAAATGGTAACAACTTTTTGTAGGTTACAGTTTTCAACATTTGTGCATAAATCTTCGGTGTTATATCCATTGGACAATGCACTTTTTTAATCCAATTGATAACAAAATCTTCATCGTTACAATTAAGACTGCTGAAATCTTTCGTAATAATATCCATTGAAGTGTTTGATTCATAATTCATTCTTCCAATTAAACGTTGCATAAGTGCCCAAAGATGCTCATTTGATTTCGCATCATGTTTTTTCTTATCGGAATTACCGTTTGATGACGATGATGATAATGTTCCTAAAATTAATGGTAAATATTTTGGTAACAATTGTTTATTCAAAGTTTGTTCATCAAATGTTAACATCATTTCAATCCGACGGCAAACAATTAGTTCAGCTAAACGTAAAACAGTTATATAGGGTAATGTAAGAAATTGTTCGATTAATAAAACTAATAAAAGGCCACTTTCGTCTAGATGTATTCCTTCAAGTGTACGAAGAATTTTCAATGATAACAATAATTTGTTTCGTTTTAATAAATTATCCCAATTTGTATAGATGGATTCAACAAATAAATGACTTGCAACCGATGTACGATGGATAAGACCAAATAGATTATGTACATACGTACATGTATCACTTTGTTCAAATAATAAAAATAATAATTGATGATGAGTTATTATTGATATTAAATGTTCAACATATAGTTCATGACGACAAATAAGATCACAATAGGATTGTAATTGGCCACTGATGGATAGATGTGTTATTAACGATGATGGAGTTGGTATGGATAACATCGATGACCACCAGGCTTCTTGTGTATAATCAAGTATATTGAGTATATGTGTCCATTGAAGTAATAGTGGAATGTAATAAGGAGAAAGTAATTTAAAATAATCACTTAAAATAGTTAAATATGAAAATGTATCAAGACGATGAACTGTTTCATCGGTTTCATCGTGAATTAGTAATTTACGAAAATCATTTACAATCGTTCGAAATTGTTTAACTAAAATCAAATGGCAGAAGATATGTTGAAATCTAGGAACTTTGATCAGAGAGATTAATAGGATCAAGAGCGAAGGAGTTCAGTAGATGTATGATTTAGTTTTTCACATAAGCATACGAATCAGGAGAGGCCTATGATAGAATTTTATCTTTTATATTGATAGATCTTTCTATGCAAATTTTCAAATCGAACTAACAAAATCAATCCTTGTGATGGTCTCTTGGACAGAAAAGATTATTGGATCCGTTTCGCTCAAAACTTGATTTTTTTTAAATTGCGTTGCTCACTTTGAGCTGTTTTACACGTGAAAATGTGTTATTCATAATTTTTTCTTCATCCTATCTTAGACTTAGAAATCATGTCTACATAGATATTAATATTTCAATCAATTACCATTATCTATGATATGTATTATTAAATAGATATAATCGGCTATGAGTGAAACTAATATCATATCAATTTGACCACGGGATTGCCGAGTATTCGTCAACAGACGTAACACTACATCATGTAAAATACGAAGAAGAGCTCTGAAAAAGAAATAGCCATGTAAAATTTGAAATAACGATATGAATTATCTTTACGAATACTTACGCACTAAAAGTTTCATCGCGTATTCCATTGATTGATGATGAAGCATCATTCCATCTTGCTAGTATAGCATCTTCAGTTGAATTTTGAACCAAACATCGAAGTATAACATTAATGTTTACTAACCATCGATTCATCGTTTGACGATTAATATCCTAAAAGTTAAACATTGAGAAAGCCGAATGTTCTTTTTTTTGTAGCAGAAAGAACACGAACCATTCTATTTGCTAATGCTCGAAAAGCAACCACGAATGGATCGATTGGACGTAATGCAACTGCTGATACAACATCAAATATTGTTAATTGTGTTGAATAAATATCTAATAAAGCTTGACCCTATTTGCAAAAAACAAATGTTAATGCGAATAACAACGAATAAGAGAAACCTTCGATGGGCCAAGTACAACATGTGATTGTAAATGAACAAGAAGTACATCGACTATTTGCCGTGAAAGACGCTTCCACTTATCGCCTTCATTTCGAACACTATCAACAATAATTGTTAACAATTGCAAAGCCTATAGGAAAATAAATTATTCTAATGCAAAATTGGCAATTCTTTTGAGCTATATTTTTTAATATTCGAAATTCGATTCTTAGACAGATCAAAAATCATCTCGTTCGAAACAAATAGCAAAATAATTGAAGTATCGGATTCGAATTCTCAATCTAGTTTGTATAGCATTTACTTTATTATATCGAAGAAGTTTCAATAATGTTTGAACGATGACCATTCGTTGTGCTTCCAATTCTTTATTATCAGCTTTGACTCGAACAAGAAACAAATCATAAACAACTGGTTCTAATGCCAATAACGCTAAAGATATAACTTATGAAAAAAAAATCAATTTTTCTTCTTATTCTTATTTTACCATGTGTTTCAGGTTCGTGTCCACTTGCTAATAATAGATCACAATGCTTTATTACATCTTGTACTTTAATAACTTGTTTCGAATGTAGCGTGTCATGTGATAGCATAACAAGAAATTCAGCAATACGATAAATAAAATACGATGATACATCGTAACCTGATATATGTTCTTCAATCATTTCCAATTGATTAATAATATGTGTAAGAAAATGCTACGAAAGCAAGACATAATTTAAATGAAAGAATGAAAATAAAACGAACCTCGTCAGCGTCTAATAAACTGTAATTAACGCGAATTAAAAGTAATTCAACAAGTAAATCGAGTACAGAAGCTTGAAAATCAGTTTCATTTGAATTAACATATTTTTTAAGACTGAGAATAACAATTGGTTCAAACAAACGAATGTAATGACCTATTTTTCCACGTTCTGTTCGATTTGGTGGACGTTTTAGATGCTCAATTGTTTTCTGTTGTTTTTTAGTTAAATAAAAACTAAACAAAAGAAAAAAAAAACATATTGAATGTGCGTGTTTCTTTCTTCAGTGATTTGAATTTTACTCTCTTATTGGGCTGTTTTCACTCGGTTGATCACTATTAACACTTGGTGTGTGTCGTGAACCGAATAAATACTGCATTGGTTGTCGAATCGTTATTGTATGAATATTAGTTAGAGAATTATTCAATGGTATTTGTGAAACAACATTTACAGGTTTTGTATCGGTAGGCAACGGCGGATTGGCTGTTAGTTGATGAAGATTTAGTAAGAACTAAATGAAGAGAAACCAAAATAAAGTCTGAAAAGAGTTTGTAGATATTTCATTTCTCATGATGAATTATAGAAAATTCTAATCTTCGCGTACTAATTGATAAACTCATTACTTGGGCTTTGCCTAATGAACACAGAAAAGTGAAAACCCAAGATGATTCAAATTTATAGGTATAGTTAGAAGTGATATTTCAGGGCCAATATTTGATTATCACAATTCTTAGAGATTCTATGCTTCCAATTCAATAACACAAGACCGGAAGAACAAATCAAACCAAAGAGGCATTTCTCCTATTCGATATGATCGATCGACAAGCAAAACAGGAAATAAGAATTTTTCTTCGCTAGTTCCGCACAGTCATATCGAATAGATGTTTGAAATTGCTATGAACGAAATAAAGCGATTCTTAAATGCTTGGATTATTTCTTATTCTCTCTCTTGTAAACGATAATAAGAGGGTAAACAATCACAATTTTGACTCTATGCATGAAATTGAATTTATAATAATTACCTCTTGTGTGCATTGAATAGTTTTTATTTTGTCGATATTAAATGTTGATTTAAGATAGTTAAGTGTTTCTTCCAAATGCTTTGACATGTCTTGAATGGAAACGAGATTTAGAACTGATTTTAAACAAGTTAATGTTGTAGCAATTAATTGTCCAAAACGATCCGTTTCTAATGAACTTAATAGACTTTTATGTGTTTGATAGGACGAACGTATTAATTCGAATAATTTCATCATCGATGGATTATTTCCGAAAGACCCTAATTGTGTACGAGTAAGTTTTTTATCTTTATCTGAACTGGATGTATTTAATGCTGTTGGCGAATCTTTACTTGTTGTTAGCGAATTCGTACCATCGTTACTAGCTGAATCCTTTTCATTTCCTTAAGAAAGATATAAAATAAATGAATTGAATTAAATTTATAAGAAATTAGAATTACTTGAATCAATACTATTTTCAAATCGTTTTTTTAATTGTTGCGGTGATGCAGGAAGTTGTGGAAAATTTATTTTTGGTGCTTGCGGAACTGGTGGAACTGTATCTTCGACAACACACGCAAATATTGATAGAATTCTGTAAATATAAAAGCAAATAAAATAAGAATCTATTTGTTGATCGGAAAAGGTTTTTACTTGATTAAAAAATGAAAAACTTTTTCTGTTGATTGAAGATCAGCCATATCATTTGTATCATTTGTTAAATCTTTAAAGGAGAAATTATAAGAAAAGCAAAATGAAAAATATTTTGCTCTTACTCAGAAAGATAAGATTGAGAATATCGAGTAATAATTGTAAATTATTGAGGTCATGTAAAATAAATGGATGTTTAAAAAAATGAATCAGTAAACGCAGTTCATCATATTGATTATGAAAAAATGATCGTATTGTTTTTGGTGTTAGAACATTGAGAAGCGCTAAAATGCCTTCGAAACATCCAACCTAAATTGAAACAATAATTTAGATTAATAAAATTAAAAGAATTAACCAACAATTTGTATTCGAGTTGTTGCTTGAGCTAAGCGATCAAAAATCAGAGTTGATAAACATGATACTGTTTCACATTGTACTTCATCATTGGATATGGCTGTTGAAGTATTTGATTGTTGTAATGAATAATGAATTTTATATATCCATTGGCATGAATAATTAATCCATTTTAGGAGAGAATGTATTGGCCATTGGCACGGTAAAAATGAACTTCGATCGACAAATCTGAATTTAAAATGTAAATTTCAACTTAAATTAAACGATCGAATTTCGGAGTACATAAGACAGGGTCGGAAGTCGGGTCACCGGATTTGTTCACTTCCAGCCGGAAACTAGCACATTTCGTAACGGATACAAAAATTAGATTGATTTGATCAAAAGCATTATCTTTCCTCTGAGTTAGCGCCGGAAATTCTATAAAAAGTTCTTGTCTATCGTTTTCTTCGATGTATTAAATCTCAATAACTAAATGAACTGATGGTACGAAAACGCTACTAAAGCACTTATAATTTACTCCATTAAGAAGAGCTTAAATTGAATTACAGAATTGACTATGTGACATACTTTGCAAAAGACGAAGCTGCTACTTGACGGACACGTACATCTTCATCGGTAAGAAATACAACAATGACATCAACACAACGATCAAGCCATGCTCGATTCTAAATGAAAAACAAAACATAATTCCATAGGATAATTTTTTTATTTAAAACTTAACTGTTTTTTTCAATTGTTGCTGTTGTTCAAGATAAGTTAATATTCGAAAATCAACGTCACCAATAAGTTGAGCTAGAGCAATCTATTTTTATTAGAAAAGCAGTGAATTATAAATTATAGATAAATATTGTTCTACTTTAGCAAGAAGATAGGAACTTGAGCTATGTTGAATAGAATCTTCTAATAATTCAATTCCTACGATTGTTAATGCATGACTATTTATTAATAAAACCGGTAATAATGTTCGTAGAGCGTTTATAGCAACGTGTACAACACGTGGACTGTTATCATTGAGACAAAATCGAAATGCAGACAGTAATTCAGCTAATATACCTAATTGAATATCTGTAAAACAGCGACAGAGAAAGCAAGAAAAAAAAACAAGCATGTATTTTATTATCAAAAGAATAAATTCATATTCTAACCTAATCTTGAACTCTCTTGAGAATCAGTCGATACAAGAGAACTTTGATTGATAAATGAATTATTAAATGAATTCGATAGTGATGATATCGGTTGAGATATTGTTAGAAGGTGTACTGTTGTTTGAATTAGTTTAGCAAGTAAATTCGCACAGGCACCACGTAGAGGTGGATCTCCATGTTCACGTAACGATAAAAGATACGTTATAACTTCAAATTAAAAAAAAACAAAACGTTTATTAGGCATACAATTTCAAATGATTTCACTTGCATTATAGTAAAATGCTTCTGACAAAGGGAATTAGTGTTCTCACCAGAGAATTTAATACCAATCACAAATTCTATTTTCTAAAGTAATCGGAGATCTTCAAAGGCTAACGGAAATTCCTAAGAGAATAAAATCGAATTCTATTTTTGGAACTCAAATCGAACTGCTCCGATTACACTCAATCAGCCAATACATGAAAAGAGTTGTTTGTCCTATCTGGTAAAAGTTCCTTCATTTTTAATGGTGTACTTTTCTTCATAACATTGCACAACTGTTCACTCTACTATGATTGAATTAAATATGAAAAAAATCATTCATTGAACTCTCAATTAATCTAAGAAGTTACTCAGCGCTTTTTACTAAAGTAAAATTTTAAAATCAAAAACAACAATTTCGACATACCTTCCGTAGGATAATCAAACGAATCGAAAAATGCAAACGGATCAATTGTTGATAAATACGAAAGACATGTTAGTGTAGCACATTTGATACTAACACGTGATTCGTCATCACTCTTAATTGTACCATCCATGTTAAGTATAAATCTAATCAGAAAAAAAACTGTTTAAAAATATCGAATCTTCAATTCTTATACTTTGAAATAAGTTGTTCAACAAGTTTAGCAGCTGATGTTCGTTTTTCATTGTTTTCTATTGATGTTGCATCTAGTTCATCATGCATTTTATTTACTAAAATTTCTTGTTGTTCATTTATTTCAATTAATGAACGTTGGTATGTTGGATAAGCTATACAAATAATCGCATAAATAGATTCCGAATTTATATTTTTAACATCAATCTTTACCTCTCCTTAATACTTGATTAACACGTGTTTCTTCTATGAATCCAATTTGAGTGGAAATTAGTAATTGATCCAAATCAAATAGATTCGTATATTTAAGTATTATTTCAAGTGTTTCCAATGAACTTGATACAACATTATGATCATTATGTTGTAAACAAAGATAACTAACCATATCAATACACTGAAAAATATCAATATTAAAAATAAAGAAATTCCTATTTTGTTTTCTTCAATTTCATTGTCTATTTACTTCGATTATTTGTCGAACATTAATTGACATATTTTGTTCATTAGAATCAATATTTTTACTTGTATTTAATGGTTGTTGAAAATTAATTGTTAATGATTGAAATTCTTCAATATTGATACCAAGTAATTGTACAAGATTTTTTATTAAGCCAAGATAACCAATCACCAACCGAGTACTATCAGCTTGATTATGATGTTCGAGTAATTTATCTATGAAACAAAACATAAGAAATGACAATTTCTTAGAAGAAGAAAAACTTACCAATTGCAATTGTCATTAGATAACGAGCAACGCCCATAGGATGACGAGAATAACGACATATGATAGTAAGACAGGCAGCTGATGAACGACGAATCAGTGCAGATTCATGTGACATATTTGCCAAATAGGCCGAGATAAGTTCCTACGAAAAATTTATATTTTAGAAGAATACAATGCAAGAGTTAAAATCCGACCAGCAGATCCAGGCAGATATTATATTTGAGGAGAGGAAAGGACAATACGTCCTGTTCTTCGTGACAAAACGAACAGTAAAGTCTATAGTCTAGTTTTTAAGAATATAATAGTCAAATAGATGTCCCTATGTCTGGTTCAATTATGCTTGAGAACAGTTGAAGTATTTTTTGCATAGAAAATACACACTAGCGTCCTTCTCGATTGTTATGCACATAGTGAGTGATGTTCGATAGGACAATTAAAAAACAAACCAACACTCAAATAGACTAAAGCAGTGTCTTAACGAGTCACTCCAGTATAGAAGCACATGTCCAATCTTATTTTTGGCAAGGACAAAGGATCATAGATAGGAAATTTTGTTGAAAGAGATCAGAATGTGCAATTTCCGAGGGCAACTTTTGCTTCTTGTGAACTTACTTTTATTTCTTTATCATTAATAGATCGACCGATAATACGAAAAATAAGTTCATAATAATCCGATAATTTTTCATGGACAATATCTTCTGAACGAGCAGCAATCGAACAGAATGACAATGATAAATGTTCAAAAAATGGGCGAATTTTTTTCGGATGTATTACATCGGCTAGTTCAGCAAATCTCCATAATGCACCTGATTACGAATATTTTAAAATTAATGATAAATTCAAATCAATCAGAAATCTAACCTTTTAAAGCTCGCGGTCCAACATTTGGATTTCGTTTTATAATTCGATGCAATTCAACTTGAATTCTTGTTAAATTTATTTCTTTATGATTCTATTTCATAATTTAAAAAAAGAAAACCAAGATAATTTAATGAAAGAACAGAAGATTTTTTTTTTCTACTTTGACAAGTTTACTAATATTTTCTTCAGCAGATATTCGTACATCATAGTCAGTTTCGTCGCATGTCATAAATAATGTTTCTACGCTAGCTGTAAGTAATTTAAAATAATTTTCATTGTTAGCTCTAGGAAGAAAAATCCATTCGATAAGAGATAAAAACAAACCCGAGAAGAAAAACAATTATTTACTTAATCAATGATGGTGAACAAAGTAAATCAACTATATTATTCAAATGATGAATTTTTTCTTTGCTTATAGATGCTGCATCTAATCGAGATCTATGAGAGAAACAAAAATGATCGATCGAAAATGTTAAAAGAAAGAAAATTCAATGTATACTTTTCATTGCTTGCTATTGATGTTTCTGATGTTGTCGTTGAAAGTAATTTGAGAACCTCAAGTGATTTGCTTAGTTTATCCATTTGTTTAATTTATATCAATTCATTTACTATAATTCAAATAAATAAACGACTAAATCTAAGAGTCTTTAATAACAAATGAATGACTGGTCGACAGCAAAAAAAAGTAAGTCTAGCTAACTTATTTTTATTGAATATTTTAAAACACCATTGACGTTTCGGTGCTAAACATAGATAGATGACGCTAGATGAGTACAATACATGGAACGAGTCTTCTCATTCATCAAAATTCTTGTTATTCATAATATGTATCCTCGGCAATAGAAAAACCAACATTGAGATAGATTGAAGGTGATTCTACCATTGAAATTGTCGTCATTTTTTCTCTATTGTATGAATTAGGACATTAGCTTGCGCTGCATTTATTGATAAGATTATTCTATATGCAACTTTTAAGATAATACAAAAAACAAAAACAAAACTATTGAATTTCATTTCACGTCGAATCAGCGAAAGAATATATTCACCAAGACCAAAGAAGAAGAGCTAATTACGAAGCAGATACCATACTCTTTGAGCAGAATGATTTATGTGGGTTTGTCGTACGAAAGAAAAATTTAGTAACATAAAAAGTATTTTGTTTTTTCCACTTTTCTGTATTGTACACTTGTTTAAGATATTTTATCTCTATTAAATATTATACAAATCCCTCATATAATCAGTTTTATAGTTTACGCGTTAGATTTATTCGTAATTTTCCTCTGTCTACACAAGAGTGACAACAAGCCTGTATTTATTTCTCATTCTCAAAAATTCTACAAGTATGCTGAACACAGAAAAAATCTCATTCTATGAAATAGTTGAACTATTGGTTGCCTGCGTAGCATTCGAATTATCTGTTGTTTTACTTCGATGACTCCCTAAACTGTTAATCGTCACGTCATGATATTTTTCTGAGCTGTTGTTAGACTGTGAATGCATACAATGTCTTCGTAGAATATAAAAAGCAACCATTCCAACAAGAATTAATAAAACGATTGTAATTGCAATGCCGATAATTAATGTTTTCATTGAATTATCTTCTTAAAAAAGAGACAAACGTACAACAAGATCTCAGTAATAAAATAAATCTTTAAATAATCACTTTCTCTGTATGAATGAATAATTTTAACTGATTTAAGTGTTATATTTCCATAGATATTAATTTGTTTCACACTATCTAATGATTCACGTTTTTCATATTTAAAAAATATATGTTCATCAAAAGAAATCTTAAAAAGAATTTTTAAAAATCAATTTCTAAATCAATATCTTTTACATTAAAACTTTCATCTTGATCAATTAAAATATTCATCATAAATGTTGTATTCACAACCAATGGATTCGGTGTTAGTTTTATCTCCGAAAGCCAAGTAGCTTTATACTTGGAATTAAATATCATCATTGTCTGTGTAGATTTAAGATGGAATGGTATATTATCTTTATTGATTCGTAAATCAATATAAAAACTAAAAGACGCAAACTAATTTCAATTCGTTAGAATTCAATACTCACTTAGGCTCGACTAGTACGCCACGAACAATTATTTCATCATTTGGTATGAGTTTCGATAAAATGTTTTCAGTATAATTAGTAAGCCAAGCATTCTTCAGTCAAAATTAAAACAAAAAATAAGTATCTAAGCGAGTAGAAAAAGAATTTCACCTGACTTCCACCATGAACAGGATAAATAAAAAGCCAGTGTCTATCGAAGAATAAGATTATGCTAATAATTAGAATTTTATGATTTGAATATGATAATCTAAGTAGTATTAAATGACACATGGAACCAATAGATATAGGAAAGTTGATGGCTGAATTATCGCGCCATTCTTATCTTTATATTTATAGTAGAAGAATAAACGAATACTTGAAACTAATACTATTATCAACGATTTCCTACATCAGTTTGAGTATAAAGAATGATTTGAATTTTTACTTGCTCTGTCCGGTAATAATACTATTCGACATGAGTACATAATTACCTCAATAAATGTATTATAAATAGCTTCAATGACGAAATATCTGTTTATTATAGTTACTAATATCAAACAGAAGATAACACAGTCAACATTAAAAAATACGATATTTCATTTATTTACTATTCATATGCAATTTTAAGCGCTAGAATATTTCATTTATTAACTGCGAAATCGGTACAAAACATACTGCGATGCGGCTAATGTCCATAGAATTTCATGAAGTAATAAATGAAAATTTGATTATCTGACAGTGAACACATTATACGTAGTTGAGAAAATTCTCTATGTTTGGCTTTAGGAAGGAGTACAATTTTTTATGGAATTAAATGAGGGTAAATTTAATTTCTATTTAGCTCAGTTTGTTATTGTACGTCATTAAGATAGTACAATATACCCATCGAGTCCAAAAAGTAGTGACGTCTGAATCATATTTCGGTGATAACGCAGAGGTTCCTCTTGCATTTCGATGCAGCAGCCACCAAATTACGGATTGAACATACGTTACAATCTCAAATTTCTAGAATTCGAACCTTAAAAGGTGAGTGAACTTTAATCTCTTCCAGTGATATATATGTATTCTTTTTGATTGAAACCATCAATGATAAACAAAGTAATATCGACTCATTGCTTATACATACACAAACATCTCTAACTTTCAGTTTCGTTACAGGAACACGATAGAAATGTTTTTCATATTTTCTTATTGGTATACATCTGTTATTTTCTAGATACAGATGAGATTTATTACTTTTACAGCCTACTGACCGATGTCACAATCTAATTCAATGAGATTGAATCTAAAACTATGGTGAAAGCACTTTAGTGCTCAGAAAGACACACTATGATTGTATTTATCTTCTTTTCGTTGCTGTACTTCATAGCTGGATGCAATGTGCTAAAATTGCAGCTTGATATTGGTGTGAGAAGGTGTTGTGTTAATGCTGCATGAAGCAAATAAAAGCTAGTCGAAATAAATGGTGATTCGAACTAGAGCTCAGCATGGGACGGGATCGGACGAACATTTTTAGAAAATTTAAGCTGACAAGAAAGAATCGAAGTCTTTTTCGAGGTGATTCTATTATATGCCTACTATCTTTATCCACTAAAATTATATTTATTGACGTAAGTGATCGTTTTCAAATTTTATTCTCATATTTTAAAACTTTTTCGATATATCTTGTTCAATTTACCAAAAATATTTAAAAAAAAACGAATATAAGCGTTTAAAAGTCATCTTGCACAACGATCTTAATTTTAACGGATAGAGACAGTATGCATATCATAGAATCATATCGAAAGAAATTTTGATTGTTTCTTGTCTGCTTAAAATTTTCTAAAAATGTTCGTCCCATAGGACGCCCAATGCGGAGCTCTGATTCGAACGAATTTATTCAATGAATGAAGAATCATAAACTTGAAGCGTCTTTTTAATATGTTCAATCTTATTCATCAATAGTTTTATTTGGGGATCCGTTGGTGGAAGCGATTTTTGCTGAATAACAAACGAACTTTTCCATACAAGAAAGTGCTTTCGAGTAGGCCCCATATAATAATATAATACACGGATATTGCTGTAGAATGAAGTCAAGTTAGGATGATTGTCTGGTAGACAGCGTTTTAGTATTGAATGAGATTGACGGTAAAACCTATTCAGGGCCTGAGTGTAGGTGTCTGAACAAAAATACTCTCACATTCACATCAACACCCATATCCACACCCACACTCACACCCTACTTTCAAGTTGTTCATCATGAATTAATTCAAGTTCGTCATATTTCTGTCACACAACGTAAACTTCGCAGCTATTGAGCGCGCCAATGCCGGTCTTGTAGCCACCACACACGAGTACAGTACCATTACAACTGGTCGAAAGTATCGCGGCTGTATGAATGTGTCTGGCTACGTTAAGACTGGCCACTTGAGTCGAGACGTAATTATTATCTGGATCGATGAGTTCACAAGTTCGTATTGACGTGGTACCATCGTAACCGCCAATGATCAAAATTTTCCCATTGGGCAATAGTGTACTTGTGTGCCAGCCACGTGGAGACAACATGGTTGTTGTGATTGTAACAAACTGAAGAGTATCAACGTCAAAGAGGGCGAATGTATTGAGATAAGTAGCGCTGTTAGTACTCCCACCTGCAATCAATACTTGGTTGATAGGATGTGGCACATAAGTACCTGTGTGATAGACACGTGCGGTTGGCAAGCTAACTCCAGGGGTGAGCGGAATGAACGCATGCGATGATCCTTGATAAAGGCTAACAATCCCATAGTAAGAAACTCCATCAGTACCACCAGTTATTAAAACAAGATCAGAAGTGTTCTGAAGAGGTGTGGCTGTGTGCCAAACAAGCCCCACTGACATCGTATTAATGGCAAATGCGAACGCTGAGGGGGACCCAATACTAAAAACTTGAGCCCTGCTTGTAACAGCGATAGTATTGACGCCACCTATGAGTACTAGTTGTGATTCACCTACGATAGCCGATCTTTGTGCATAAATTGCCGATGCTAGATAAATGGTAACGATGCTTTCCGTTGCTGGGTCATATATATCAGCAGTACCTACTGCTGAAGCACCATTATAACCGCCAGCAATGATAATCCACGATGACAAGGAGCTCATCGAATCGGCTGTATGATAGTAGCGTACTGATGACATACTGCCACTTGACTGAAAACATCCCGTTGACGGTATATATCTTTCTATCGATGCTAGCCCAAAGCCTGCATTAATACCACCTGTGATAAGAACACTACCGTCTTGTGAAATGAATGTACTTGTATGATAGTAGCGAGGAGTGGACATATTTCCAACTAAATACCAAGTATTTGATGGTTGCGATGCAGTGGATGTGAAACAGCCTATAAACAAGCAACAGGTCTTTCGTTTGTTGATGAAAAATGACTCTAGTGACAGATAATTCTGGCTGAGAGTAATGTGTCCGAAACGGTTATATGTTTACAGTACTCACTCTGCGATGTCGTCGTTGTCGTACTCGTTGCAGTTGTTGTCGACGCCGTTGTGCTAGCTTAAGAAATATACACACACACATATTCATGTATTAAGTCGGTCTCAGGCGTTTGGCGCACAACCAACACGATCTACGTAGCATCTATTATACTCTATTATTTTAATCACATCATTAGAGTAGGAGATCTTCAGAAAATTTATTGAAGCACCATTGAATAATCAAGCAAAACTTGCTCGGATTACTCCTGTAGTGATCCGTAGAAGTTGCTATTCATGTTTAAACGTTTTAGAATCTATCATATGATTACTTTCTTAGAGTTTCAATTGATAATAAATAAAATTATGCCTTTTATTCTTGTTCAATAGCCAAAATAGGAAGCGTAGAATCCCAGACCCTCAAGCGAAGTCCAGCTCGTCTCACGCTTTCAACTAGTGCATAGACAATGTTTGACAAGATCAAACTTTGACCATGCACAACAGATCGATACTTGCTACAAGCTCATATGCCCTAGAAGAACTAGAACCGGTTCGAGGTTATTGACGTAAATGAGCGCTTTGAAACGCCACAAAGTACATTTTTCGATAATACAATGGAATAGTAATTTTTAAACAATTTAAAAATATGAATGCTGAAAAATATGACTAGATGATTGCTGTTCAATTCCAAGCGAAAATAGCAAATTTCTAGTTAAACTACCTGTTATCGATAGACCCAAATGGTAAGGAATTTCTAGAAGACGATTTCAGAAATTTTAAAGTCATTAGAGAGATTAGCATATGCACGGAGCTACTAGAAGAAAAAGTCAGGCAATTCTACAAAAATAAAAGACATCCAAACGAATGAATGAAACAGTTGATTGGAGGCGAGTTTCAAAACATTTGTCTAGTCTGAAATATTCTATTACAAATTATACGCTGCTACGTAGAACATCATGAGGAGTTACCGCGAATAATAAGTTATCGAAAAACCCATGAATATAATAAAATATGATTCAGATTATGAAGACTTAACAACCTATTGGCAGTCTCTTGGCTTAGATATCACCCAAGATTTGTGCGAGCCGAGTTTATGCAATTGTAGTTTGAAAAACTCGCAGAGAAATAGACAATAAAACGAAACAATTTAAACGACTTTTGCTTTAGTCACTATGAAGATAATGGTAATAAAGATGCGCCAAACTTCAATACTTCTATAGTCTTTCTTAAATAGCAATACTCACTAGTACTGGTCATTGTTGCCCTTGATGAATTAATGATAAATACAGTCACAATAATACCGACTGATATAATAACTGTAGCCGAAACAACAAGGCCCACTACAGCAACGAACCACCAACGACTGAAAAAAGTTTCCGTCGAGCTTTGTACTGCCACCAACGGCAGTGATGATGGCTGGGAACTGAAACCATGTGGCATTGATCGATTAATATCACATAACTCTAGCATTACTGTCCTCGCCACAATGATTTTAATCTTTTACTTGATGAAAGTGGACATACTATTTTATATGTTGCTCTCTTCGTGTATGAAGTATTTGTTTGCCGTAATTAGAAATTTCGAGAAACCATATCATAGTCTCATCGTAAACAGATGCCTGGGTAGATGGTTGCTATTATATTATTTACTCGAAAGCGAAGCATACTAATTTTGCACGAAACAACGATTGGTTGCTGTTATTCTGTTATTTATTACGAAATAAATTTCATAAGTACGCTACTGCATCGTAGAAAGATTCTATTCCAGTGGTTCGAAGCAAACTTGGTAGGAAGTGTCCGCAAGATCTTACTTTTCGAGAATAATTCGATCTTGAATATAAACGCATTGAATAAATAGATCAATCTTAACCGGCATTTATCGAAGAAATGCCTGCAAACATTTTCAATCGAATATCGCTCATCAACAACATTCAATCTTTTTAAAAATGTAAAACTTTTTCAAGAAAACTGCTAAAAGTCAAGAAAGTGCACTTAGAATTCCATGTCAAGTACTTGTTGTAGTAAAGTTATCAATCGCATAAACATACAGTTCTTTGATATTCCATCCGTTTTGAACTCTAATGAGTGTTTGCTCTTCAGATGCATAGTAAATAGAAAACACAGCGATACCTATCAACTCGGTCGCAACTCACATATTGAATTTTCTCAAACAAGCCTATTCAAGTTTCTATGCAAATCTTGTCAAATGGATCAGTTTTGGTGACTAAGATGCATAAAAGAAAGCCTTTACACAACTTCTTAACGATGGAACCAATTAAGAGCGAATCTAGCAGAAGAAGTATGCCATACCTCGAACAATCTGATTGTAGCTTGATGCTCACACCCACATCCTTGTTGACATCTTATTTTGCGAAGCCTTGATTTAATTATGTTTCAATAGTGATTCTGTAGTGTTGTCTTCTACTCATTCAGTTTGAGTAATGAATATTTATAATTTATTCCGAACACGCGCAAGACTCACTAAAAAAAATAGTAGGACAAATTCTATCATTAATAATTCTATTCGCATAGAAACGAGAAGCATGAGAAATATGAGCTTGACAATAGAGTATTAATGCTGTTTTCGGATGTGAGTACGCGCGTCTTGTCAACCATGCCCACATCCACACCCCACCCTCAAGCTGACGAATCGACAGATATGACACATATTGTGAATGTCTCAGTATTATAAATCATTTCAGAAGGATGGCTCATAATTCTTTTAATGATTAGCATTATGTTCTTTTTTATATCGTTTCTGTAATTAATTCATCTAAATAAAATGGTCATTGTGGGCAGTCTAATGAGTTGGGTCTGGCTTCAAAAAACTTATCAGCTGTATCAAATAGAAAAAAAATTGTTTTTAAACTCACTGCTGTTCATTGCATTTTATAGCTTTAATATTTATAGAGAACAAACAATCAGATTTATCTTGTCTCAATTTCCCGTTTATCAGACATCTCGATAAACGGATCAATATTAAATTATGGTAATTTTCTTAAAATAGAATGAGCAATGATGCTTTTCAATATAGTGAATATCTCTGATACGATATATCAAGCTGGATGCTCCATTTCTTTTGGCAATTTTGCACAGTATTAATTAGTTGAGATAGAAAAATTGTATTTATTCTTGTTTGACATAGTAAACAATAATACTGATAATACCACCAACAATAACCAACATAAGAATACCACCGCCTATGATAAAAACCGTTTTTATTACGTTTGCTCTTGTATTGGTTGAATGATAAGCATTTAATTGATCTTTACCACGATTGATTTTTACTTGAAATTGGTCTCTATTAGGTAACGATGAAAATATAATTTCATTGATATCTTTACTATGAATATTTGGTAAAGCAAAATTTATATCTTGGTTTAAACATAAATAGAGAAGTAAATACATATGAAAAGAATATAATACTCTACGAAATATATCGAACATAACGAAATTTGAACACAGGTTCTACTTTAGAAGTGAATTCACTAGAATTGTTGACAGCATTTTGCATGACAACGAAAATTGTATTTGATTTCATAATGAGAAAATCATTTCTTTGAATATCATTAATGAGATCATTGTACACTAGACAAGAGCATTGAGAAGCTAAAACAATCTATTTTTTATGATGCAGAAAATTGTTATTTATTGCAATTTAGATCTATACAGGTTTTGTGTTAATCAACAACATTACCATTGGTTCTCAAATTGGAAGTGCTATTAACAAGAAAATTAACAGCGAATTGGAGTTTAGTATTGTTAGAAAACCTTTAACATCCTCTAAGACATATATATATATATATAGCTATTATTTTCTCTGTGCACAATAGTGTGCATGTCACATAGAAGTTTGAATGCAGGCTGTGTATTGTTAGAGATAATCATGCTAATATTTTTCTGGATACTTCTATACTAATGTAGCAGTCTGTGAAGATAACTGATTTTAAATAATCACTTATTTTTTCACTATAACGCCAACGAAGAAAAACGAAAAAGGCAGATTCTTCCAGAAAGACACAAGTAGAAATGACTGCTAAGTGCAAGACAAACCAATACGATCATAGCATTTCGTATTGGAAGATAAATGAATATCGGTGTAAGTTTACTTAACTCATTGCAGCAAATTTATCTTATAAATAAATAAAACGTTGTCTTTTCCAACTGTTGGATATTATGATCTCTGTTCCTTGACCAATAGAAATCCGGCAATTTTTTTCCGAGATATTTCAAACATCTTCTTCGATATATTTAAACTACACAAGACAATATATAGAAGAATATATGCACCAGATCTCCGCGTGGGACGAGATTGGACGAACACTCTTAGAAAATTTTAAGCAGACAAGAAAGAATTGAAGTCTCTTTCGAGGCGATTCTATTATATGCTTACTATCTTTATCCATTAAAATTATATTTATTGACGTAAGTGACCACTTTCAAATTTTATTCTCGTATTTTAAAACATTTTCCGTATATGTTGTTCAATTTACCAAAAATATTTTTAAAAAACGAATATAAGCGTTTAAAAGTCATCTAAGACAACGATCTTAATTTTAACGGATAGAGACAGTATGCATATCATAGAATCATATCGAAAGAGATTTCGATTGTTTCTTATCTGCTTAAAATTTTCCAAAAATGTTCGTCCCATTCCGTCCCACGTGGAGCTCTGTATCAGATAATACCTGATCATAGCTTTAGCTAACATCAAAATTACAACATATGCATGTTTTAATCAATCTTGAAGTGTTTTTATATACATATGCTACGTAGGATGAAATGAGCATTAGGGAGGGCAGTGGAACTTAACAAACTCGAGACATGCAGTAATATATTTTATGTCTTTTTTAATGCACATTATATTTTTCGCTTCAGTTCGAACAAAAGAAAATTTATTGTTATCCGGTTTCACATATTCATAATGCACAAAATAGTAGGGTAATCAGAACCGACAAGGTATATCTGTGACACAATGTGATTAATTGTATGGTTCCGTGTTGTGTGAGTGTAAGTCTAGTATCCTATCAAACCCGGACGTCAATTGTTAAACGTTTGCAACAACAACATGTAGTTTCTTCATTTAACATAATATACCTTTTGTAAGAAACAGACATCAACTAACATTGTCACTTTTGAGTTCAGTCGGAATTTCAAGAAGATTATTATTTTAAATGATTTTTGTTTCATAGAAACAAAATGAGATGTCTATTGGTTATTAAATATTATGACACGAAGGTTTCTCTTGATAAATTTATATATTATTAAATATGTCAAATGTGTAGCTTTTACTCAACTATTCAAAAACTGACGTCTGGAAGTCAAATAAGTAACTTGATTTATTCGTATTCAATAATCTTATCAAAGTATAGACACAATAAACAAACACCATTGTCAAAATCTTTATATTTGAAGAGTTTATTATTTCACGGTTAAACATTTTAGAAATGAAATTTTATTGAAAGCTTCAATGATTATATTCATAGTAATTTGCAGGTTTCTAAAATAAATAAAAGATATGTTAATTTTAAAGTACACCACATTTGCTATATAGAAAATATACGATAATATTTCATTTCACTATTGAGCAAAAGTCAAATTGTTCTATTTATGAGCTTATATTCAAAAATTGACGTAATTCAATAAATCATGTAACCATTAGCACACTAAGAAAAAATTTCAAAGAACCATTATTTTTATCATATTTTAGTTTCATACAGTAGTAAGACCAAAGAAAGCGAATTCAATGTTCATCATTGCATTAAAAAAATAATAGCAATGCTGCAATAATGTCATTAGCTCCAAGATACAGATACGCATGCCATAATTAAGAATTCTACGGAAACAAACATAAATACGAAAAACAACTTTCACATGCATGATCTCCCTACGAGTTCAACGAAAGCAGACACGTTCTTCAAGATGATTGTATGCAACACATTATATTTCTACACGATGCCGTGGGCAAGTATTGTTCCACAACGCCTTATTTATGTTTTTTTTTTTTATTGAGAACGAACTTTCAATGATGATATAACTGAAAAACCTAATGGACCTATTAGAGAGAATATGTTGCATGTTATGAAAGCGATGATTATTGGTATTTATCATGTGATTTGTCTGCTAGTATTTTATATCATTTTCATGAACTACTTCGCTCATAATGAAAAAAATTCTTCTCGTGTCATATACTGTTTAAGAGTGGCAAATCAGGTAAATAGCCGTTAATCAAAATGTAACACATTTCCATAGCAATAGGTATATGATAAAAGTCGCTTGATATCCACGTATATAAATCAAATGCACTTTGTACATAACGCTAATAAATCCAAACTTTTGCTGGACGGAAAATCTCTTGCATCATTGAATGCTGATCATATGGCTTGATTAGTTTTTGAATCGTTCAAGTTTCAGGCTTTATACCACTGCGTATCTGCTTCTAAAAAAATTCCTACTTTTCTCAAACAACTAAAAGAACAATAAAATATTATATTCTTGAAGTGAAGTATTTTATTCTATGTTAAATATTTCTTTAAGCACATTTTACGAGGACAACACTTGTAGCAACTCATCATTATTTAAAAAAATATTTCTAATCAAAAATGCTTTCTCACATATGGAAATTACATACATCTCTGCTTATCATTGAAAATTTTATTTTTATTAACACTAAAACAATGAATCATTATTACAATTTCAAAGTCCTCTACATGTAAGCGCATATTTAAACGACACTCAGCATCTTATCTAAACAATGAACATAATTATTCTAAGATGAGTCACTCTTTTATTCCATGAAATAACTAATTTTGGTTACATAAGAATAATATTCGCACTAACACGCATCAGTGTAATAGAAATCGAATAATCAATAATTAAACTGAACATTGTTTTATATTTAGCAAAAAAAAAGAACTGTCTGTAAGAAAACGAGAGAAAAGAAAATTCTCTTCGGAGAAAATATTCAGCAAAGAATATTCGGAAGCGGCAGTGACAGCACTGCAGGAAATGATCTTCTATATAGTAGAATGCGCTTAAACGACACATTTTTTTTCTTCAATGAAACATTTTAATTGTGTGAAAACATCAATTATCAGGTTTTTATTTTTATCACAGCAAAATCTTTCGTTTTTAAAAAATTGTAATGACAAAAGAAATTTGAGCGATTCTTTAGCTGCATTGAATAGAACTAAGATGTGACTCATCTGTGATGGGGAAAATCCATTTTTCCTATGTCAAATACATTTTCCTTTCAGATTTAATTTTACATGAACATATTAGTTTTACGTGTTGAAAGCTATAATTATGTCAACAAAAACTTTTACAAAAAGTAGGAGTGCAGACATCGTTACGTGACAAATAATTTTTCACATAATATCAAGAAAATTTTGGCATAACTTATATAACCAATTCTATTGTATTTTCCTTAAAGAATCATAATAACAATAAACGCAACTAGCTACTTTTCTCAAAACATCTAATATTTATCTGTTAGCTGTTACTTCTACTAACACGAGCCGATTAGTCCATGCGATCATTGTAACAAATCCAGCGTTGAATGTATCATGTTCCTTAATATATATAACTAGTATCATTCATATATGTGCGAACGTGAGTTCTAAATTTTGACTTCGTGAACAGATGCATTATATGAATTTATTGACAAATGTTTCATGAGAAGAAATAATTCTTCAATAAGTGAATAAGAAAATAATTTGATTAAAAAGTATGTCTTAAGCTAGTTTGGAAAATTTAGAGATAACATGATAGTAAGGTAAAAACTCTGTTACGCATTTTTTCCCTATAGTCCTACGGTGTTATTTAAATTTCATTCTATTTTGTCTGTTTATGGCAAAAAAAAGGCATGATTATCTTGACATCTTGCTCTCTTCTATTCAGACACAACTTACGACTAATACCAATAGTAGTGCTATTTGAAATATTTATTTTATTCTTCTTTATCCAGTATCGCGTGCTATGTTCTGTTCAAGAGGCAGAATATCGCAATAGTATTCATCTATATTTCCTTTTCATTTTTACTTTTTTGATCACTACTTTCACACGCCGATAGCGTGATTGCGAGATCGAGACTAAAAAAGAAACAGATCTATGTTGCGGTGTCGTCGCAAAGTTTAATTTTTGTACTTTGACGTTAACATTCTTTTGAGTATCTCGGTAATGTCGCGTTTTATTCAAAGAAAAAATTTAAATACGTAAATGAAAACATCAAACAAATCAATAGGAGAATTAGTCAGTTAAAATATGTTGTATATTCGTGTGTATGTTTAATTACAAGCATTGTAACATATAATCAGTGACTGGTAATATGACAAGTTGAAGTATACTAATAACAGGATATGGACATGAATTTCTATCTTAGAACTATGCTCGAATTGTTAAATCGCGTTTACACTTGTGTTTTGGGCACAATCATGATTATATAAATTATTCTGATTCGTATTGTAAAAAGGTAAGTCAAAATTTTTTCCCATGCTGAAGCTTGTTTTCTATTCGTTTATTTCTATTTATAATTTAGTCGCAGTAAGTAATGCAAAAGATGAAGTCTAGATGATTCATACGACTAGTCTATTATGTTTCAAGAAGTAGAAATCGACAGAAGGCAATATGCTGACGTGGAAGTCGTTGACGTTTGTTAGTAAAGCGATAAATAAAAACCTCAATAGAAAAAAATTTCGTCTAAACTGTGCTTCATCCGAATATAATTCTGAATTAGACACTCTTGAGGAGTCAGTAACAATGATGATCGCATCGTTCGCATCATTGGTGTTGCTCTGAAACTTTTCTTTCATTATTATATTCCTTCGCATGCTGTTTGAAATTTTCAACTGTTCATGTTTAAATGTGACTTTTTCTCAGAAAGAATACGACGTGCAGTGTTAAAGAAGATTCTATTCGTAAAACGATTCCCATATGTACCATTGCAATTAATATAAGTTATCCTTTCAAATCAAGCTGAATAGTGACAAGATTTGCTGTCTAGATGAATGAATTGGTTTTAGTTTAGCTGAAGCTATTGTACTATATCATTAAATATTCATATTTGTCGAAGCAATAGAATGACACCTTAGCTGTATTACGGAAAAGATAGCGACAGAGAATAATGATGAATATCAATCATGTGAGTATTGTTCACTTTTTTTTCGTTGGAGTTCTCTTTCCGTGAATATTCTTTACTTATATGTGTGTTAACGACAGCTATTGATCGTTCGATTAATGCCCGACACGATCGCTCTGAGTACGAGTACCACCCTACTCGATTATGTGATTTCTTTCTGGAATATTCTGCATAGGTTATACAAAACATTTTGATGCAAATATGATGACTTCTTTCAAATAAACTTGTCGTTTACATTGTATTAATTTTAATTTTATTATGAAAATCTCATTCTTTTCAAATCAACTAAAATTAATAGAATCAATATCTCTCATACATTTTTACTCTCAATGCGCTGAAAAAAATATAATAAGTAGTCCAAAAGAATTCATAGATTTACGAAAAAAACCAATGCCACTCACATTGTAGAACGCTCGGTCGTTGCTTGAATAAAATCAACTACTAAAGACGTGCCAATGAATAAGGTAATGAGATATATTGTTCGATTTTAATCAAATCGTTCCGAGTCTTATCTCAATTTGTCGACAAATGTCTCACGGCATCATCAGAAAAATGAATACAACAATACTAATACCAAAATATGCACGAGAAACGATAGGAAAGAAAGTGTATCGCCTTCGTGCCTATTCATTCTTATAATGAGTGCGCGTAATTTTCTCTATATGTTTCAACCGAAAATTGTTAATCATGAAGCAGTTAAGAAAACTCTATCAACGTGTATAGATCTATGTAGAATTAACGTAGATAAAAGCGTTGAAATAGAATAAAGTTATTGATGAATTATAATATTTCGCAAAATAAAGTCTCCTGTTTTATCTAAATAAATGCAATTGTTTATTCAAAACAAGAATGTCTAAGAAATAGATAGAATAAAAAAAAAGAAGTTTATTATGTGTTTTCATTAACTGAGGAAAAAGTAGAAAGAAAAAGAATAAAATTATCTTCATTCAAAAGTAATATACGAAAGTGCCTAGGAAAAGTCGCTGAAGAAAAATTGCTCTTTATTTTTAATGCAGACATGCTCCTGTAATTGAATGTAATAAGAAATAAAATTATGCTTCATTAATTTTAGATTCGAAAGAAAAGAACCTGACAACGCACATCTACTATATTACACCCATGAGAAATTATAGGCAAACTCGATTATACGTCCACTTGAATGTAGAAAGTCAATCTTCACACAATTTACAAAATAAGAGAGAATTTTTATTTGGTTAAAATAGATTATCAAACCATGTTAACGAACTCATTTAAATATTTGTCTCTTTTAACAATCCTTATGACTTTTATCTTCACTATGTTGCATACGTTTCTATATCGTCAGAAATTTCAATTTAGTCACAAATTCAATAGTACTAATACAACGCTTTCTATCAAAAATACATCTACTCCTACCTTCTACTCAAATATAGCTGTACTTGTTGAATTTCGTGCAGTTGATCATATAGTTGCCATTGTTCATAATGTTGATCATCATATTCCATCATCATGGCCTATTCAAATTTTTCATGGAAAAGAAAATCAAAATTTTATTAAAAATTCAACTCTAGCACCATTAATTGCATCAGGAAAAATATTTCTTACGCTAATGGAAGAAGTTTATGATCGTAGTCGAACGAATCAACTACTAACCGATCCAAAATTTTGGCAACTCGTCTGCGGTGAAAAAATTCTCCTATTCCAAATCGACTCAGCTATGTGTTCGAATTCGCCACATAAAATTACTGATTTTCTTCAATATGATTATGTTGGTGCTCCATGGGATACCTCTTGGTTTGCCTATAATAAAGCATATCTTGTTGGTAACGGTGGCTTTTCATTGCGAAGTCGCAGTAAAATACTTGCCTTACTTGCACTGGCTAAATATGATTTTAAAATACCAGAAGATGTTTGGTATGCACAGAATTTACATCGTGTAAATGGATCCGTTGCACCAGTACATGTAGCAAAAACATTTTCTGTTGAATCAATGTATTATGAAAGACCATTAGGTGTGCATCGATTTCCTTTGCGTTGTTCTGTGCAAGCAAAACTATTTGCAATATGTCCAGAAGCAAAAATGATAATGCCGGAAAAATGCTCTTGAATTTTTCAAATTTTTGTTTTGCTATTTTAAATATTGGCATTGTTGAATTCTTTTAATGCATGCAATTTCCAATTTTAGTTATTAGATATTTATAAGCACTGTTCTTTCATTGTCGAACTATTATACACCGGTTTGATTCGCTACGGAGAATGTACGCTTGTGTGTTTCTTTTCTTGAATGTAAAAATAAATATTACAAAAAACAGGTATAGATATTTTAGTTTTGGTTCTATTATTTGAATAGCGGAATTCAAGATTTTGCTAAGCAAAGTTCGAGAATATTATTAATTCTAGTATTCTATCCGAATGGTTTCCGTAGCAAAATTATTCTTACTACCACACACTTTGTATGGTTAATCTTCTTATTAGTTATAGGTGTATCGTCATTATTTAACATCATAAGTATGCCTTTCATTTAGAGAGAATTCTCTTTTGGTCTACTCAAAAAGTGAGTACACTCTAGATTCTGCCAGTGTGTCCGTCTGTTAACTCGATAACTTTTGAAAGCCTCATCCAATTGTCAGGAAATTTTGTACGCAGAATGATCTCATCAATGAAAGCAATCCGTTAAGAAATGACTGCGTTATCGAAAAAATTGTCATTATTTACCAAACCATCCCTGAGAGAGGGTACAGGGATTTTTTTCAAAAAAACAGTATTTTTCTCAGAATTATTCACAACATATATTAATCGACTCAGTTTTTAACGCAGCTTCTGAATTTAATATTAATTGTGAACCAAATCGTAGCTGTCTGAAAAAGAATCGTCTGAGAAAGGTCTCAAAATGCACAAGAACTGCATCCAGAAACCAAATTGCCTAGATATGTCTCAGGTAATCAGTAGTTGTGGGGTTTCCCAAATGCCTAGTTTTAAAGCTAGTCAAAAGGACTATCGAAAGGTAAAAAATCGAACTCGATAGCTATTAATATTGGTGATTTATTAGGAAAACACTGATGCCTCTATCTATCATATATCTCTTATAGATTCATGAGGCTGTCTACGATCGTAATCCCGCTAGACACAAACGCAGATCCATTCAAAAGTAACTCTTCTTACCCAGTTTTTCAAGCTAAACACGAATCTGAACTCAATTTCTGTGATTTCTAAAGATATTATATCACTCTGAGAGTAGAGTCAGTGGTCACCGGATAGGGTCGCATACAGTGTGGCCCATGCTAACTTAGCACGCCTGTATTTTCTCCTTGCAACTTAGTGGCAAGGGATGCATCTTAATGATATATATATATGTCTTATAGAATAAATGCGACAATCTCGAATTTAAATCCGAGTGTTATATGTATTTCAAACAGTGAAAAGTCATATTACCTTTGTTTTTTATTTTTTTAGATAGCTTGATCAAAATCAATCTGTCATCAATTAGTTTTACTTTTTGACGTACACATAACACTTGGACTTAAATCCGATGTTTCCACATTTATTTTTTGTTATATTTGAAAGATATTTTCTGGTACGTAGTAAATTCTATGCTCTTGGTGTGAATGTTATTAAACAAAGGCTAATTGCAGTTTATGTGTTTGTAGACACGTCTAGTTGCTTTCGAATCATACGCGTAATTCCAAAACACAAAATATTAGTCAACATGAGTTGAATGCTTCTGCATGGCATAGAAAAGAAGCAGCAGTTTTTATGGATATCAATGGTAGATTAATCGTTCTTATTGAAAAAGCAATTTGACTGTACTTGAGCGAATTCGATATTGAGATAATGTACTATTATTGAAACATTTTCCCCTAATTGGTTTTTGATTCATCGAATTTCTTGTATAAATTCAATTCTCCCTATTATCTGAAGGATGTGAGATCATAGCGGTAATCTTTTCATGGTTGGAATCAAATCAAAGAAAAACTATCTTAAACTCATAGTTTATAGCCATCGATCTAAAGATGTACATACGTAAAATCGTCGAAAATGATAATCATCTTTGTAAAACTTATTAACTCAAACTTAATAGAAATATCATTGATGGAGCCAAATATTTTCAATAGTTATTTATAATCTCTTTGGAAAACGTTTACTAGGCCACAAGGTCAAATTATTTTCATCATTGTAAAAAGATTACGCCTACTATAGCTTTATGATCGAAGCACATTTTTTTCCTTCTGATTTCGATGTAATACATTTTCTTATTCATATTTTTACAATGAGAATAAGAATAGTAAAAAGGAAATTCTATGAATGTAAGTACTAAGCATATGATTTTTCTACGGTCAATTCATGAGTTTTTAAATTTCGATATGTTATGCACTCATTGTAACAGTCTTGGACATAACGGAATCCAATCGAAATATTCATTAGAGAAAATTTCGTCATGTCGGATAATATCTTGCATGATCGTACCTCTGATCTTGAATGGCCTTGTAAGATTCTTGTCAGATCATAATATCAGATTATTAGAAAAAAACCTATGAAACGGTAAGATCTTTCAAGGATCTTATAGTGCGATTCGATGCAAGAAGAGTAAAGCCATCTGTCTGAAATCTGTCGGTCCTTATATTGCCAGGAGAAAAGTGTATAAAATACAGTGAGTATTGTGTGTTAAAACTTTAGGTACGAGTGTAGTACTGTGTAAATATAAAATAATATTTTCTGTTTTTTTTTTCAAAAAGCACATTTATTTATTCAAACTTCCAATAGATTGCATCTATCGAATTATTATTATCTCTCATTTCGCATGCTCTACAAATATAAACACAGCATTTTCTTATTATATTGTTATTATTAATGATGATAGATGCTGTTTACACGACTTACTTGACACGGACTTGACGTTGATTATTTTTCGATTTTAATTGGTTTTTTAGCGAAAAAATTTTATTTTCGTTGCAGACGATTTACTTGACGTTGATTAAATAAAAATGGATTCCAATCAGTCTATTTTTTCTATGAGGATTTACTTTCCGTTGATTGCTTAGACCTAAAGTAATAAGAACGTGCATTATCAATGTGTCGTAAGAATAAATTCGAAATAATTTCTAATCGGAAAGAATGTTCATCAATAAACGAACGGTAAATTGAATTTTGACATTCTAGAATGAAAAAACATGTAAATTCTCCACATCCAAACATTTTCGTAGCCATTGACTTACTGCAAAAGGAGCAAGCGTTAGCATCGATTGCAAGAATACGAGATGATATGGGCGCTCCAACTCCAAAACGTTGAAAATATAAAGTTGTAACAGATGAATGTTTAATAAAATTGTGGGAACACGTTATGATGAAGGTCGTATTGATATTCCATCGTTCCTCAAAGCTGTAGGACTGAGATATTTTCAACATCCATCAAAAAGTTAAACAGTTATTTCTCATTGTCCTTTTGTTTCTTACTATATATATATATTTGTTGGTTTTTTGTTCTAATAATACATTGACTGTCGCAATAATTGCTCATTTCTTTACGTCTAAGCAATCAACGGAAAGTAAATCCTCATAGAAAAAATAGACCAATTGGAATCCATTTTTATTTTATAAATGTCAAGTAAATCGTCTGCAACGAAAATAAAATTTTCTCGCTAAAAAAACCAATTAAAATCGAAAAACAATCAACGTCCAGTCCGTGTCAAGTAGGTCGTGTACACGGATGGATGCAACCTATTGAAAACGTTTGAATGAATAAATGTGGATTTTATTCATTATTCTCAGAATAAGATAAGCTAATTATTAGGTGTTAAACATATGAGAAAGTATGCGTAGCTTCCTAATTGCGGGCAAAAATTAAGCCAATTAGTGAAAAATGACCGCAATTTGGAACGAGTGAAACTTTTTTATTATTATGCAATAACTGACGGCTTCATGAGCCCTTACAGTACAATGAGTATGGAAAAAGAAAGAGAGACACGAACCGCTGTGACAGGACAGCACCAAAGATAAGACATACATGAACATACATTGACAGACAATAGACAAGGACAAAACAAGAGACAAGCATAAAGAGACATAAAAGACGCGGACACGAACACACACTATACATTAGTTGAACAACATGCCAATACATACAGATCAGCAGCGATAAGAAAAATCTTCATGACAAGGAAGAAAGAAAAGGGGAGAGAGAAGCACGAAATAAGAGCACTGAGTAGAGAAGGAAAGAACGAGGTAGTCTTTATAAAAAAAAAAGTCTCCGGGAAGTTAATGAGGAGATCAATTTCGTCGAGTTCAAAATCTGGGCTTGAGGCAGTAGGAGTGTTATCTTCCAACCAATTGAGAATTTTCTCAAGAACGGACACGTTCTCAACATAACGCTTAGACACTCTAAGCCCCTTAATGGAGAATTCCTTGGCTCTCCATGACTTTCTAAATTCATTTAGGGAAGCTCTTTCGAATGATAGTTCACTGTCAACTGAGTCTGACAGCGCAATTAAATATTTGCACCAATAACGAACGCATCTATCTGTTAAGGAAGATTCATTTAACACAAAGGTCACGAAGTAGTCGTTCCACCCCCGACAGTGGAGTGTGTTTTTCAAACACGTGAAATAGAAATGGCCGAGGTCTTTGCGTTGCTTTTCGGAGAAAAGCGAAAAAATTGGATACAACCAAGTAAAAGTCGGTAGGATATACGACAAGAACAGCACTCTTCTGAGCGTAGAGGATGTTCTATCCTCAAATCTAAATGAGTTTCACATAGCTAGTCGTTGTCTAATTTTAGCCTTCGACCTAGATATCATCTTGTCCCACTCAATTTTGGGTGTGACCCAGTACCCGAGGTACTTATATTCGTTGGTCCAACCGATTTTATGGCTATTGACATCTAATTGGAAGCGGGGGAGGCCAATCACTCTGGCGCTCCAGAGACCAACTGTTTTGTTATAGTTAATTGGCTGGCCCGTGAGCAGACAGTAGAACTCGAGCTGGTCAATGCAATATTTGAGTTTCTTCTCTAAATCTAAGCATTGCTGACTAAATTTAATACCAATTTGTCCTGCTACAATTGCTGCTAGGTCATCCGCAAAAAAAGTGTGATAAACAACAAGAGAGAAACTC